TATTTTGGTGTTGTTTGAAGGCACTAGCCAATCGCACACACCATTTCCCCCTGCCCGTCACACAGCAGCACTTTACAGCTTTCAATTCAAAGTGAATTTACCTCTGAAAATTCAAATGCAAAGAGTTTAGTAACATAGGAAGTAAAATGTTAGTATAGGAAAACCATATTGCTTCACATTTTCTTCACTAAGAGAAAGTTATCTTGTAACAAACCACCTTTTTAAAACAATTACTTTTGAGTTAAAAAATACTATTTTTGAGTAGCTACTTTGTCTGGCTGTACTGCTCTTCATACTAGTCTTTCCTTTGTTGTGGGTCTTCATGTGTGTACCACAGTCTTATATAGAGAGCAGTGCAGAGATGGGACAAAGATCATCTAAAAGTGAGGTTCCCCCTTCCAGTGCTGTTAAGTTTTCTTTAGAAATTCTCAAAGAACACTTATATATTATAAAATAAATTCTTATTTTTCTTTTTTTGCTGTTAGGAGATCAAGCCCAGGGCCTTATGGATGCTGAGTAAGCATTCATTGCAGGGCTGACCTAGTCCTCTTTTCAAAGTAACATAGACACAGATCTGTTTCAGACGTAACACAGTAGTTAGTAAGGTTCCTGTCTGCATCACATGACGCTGCCGTGTTCTTATGGAGGAAGAACAGAAGTTGGGTTTCTAGAGCAGAAGTGTCACCTTTATCTAATAATCTGGTTCTGAGCAAGGTGACTTTCACAGATGTTAGATTTTTGCCGAGGTGTCTAGATGAACTGCTGCCATGCAGAGCCAGATGTGCTCACCAGAGCTTGGCACCACTGCTGCAGTATAGCTGAGGTGAGAATTGGCATCCTAAACGTGTGAATAGATAACACGTAAGACCCAACAATGTATTATTTTGTATGATGTATCAGATCAAAAGGCAGCAGATATGACCATCATGTGTAATTTTATTTGGTGCCATAAATTACCTTCATACAGATGTCTTATGAAAGTTAGAGGTCCCATTCTCATGTGCCATAGTTGTTGATACTGTAATTGGACATGACTTTAATGCAGAGACAGTGAACTCCATTTGTGAGACTTGTCTCCCAGGTCATGGTTCCCCAGTCTGTCTCCCAGCTTAGCATCTTATACCCAGCCAAGTTCAGACTTGCTCTGCTAGATGATATTCTCTCTCCCTTTCTTCCCTTGCCTCTAGGGAGTGCTGGTCCATTTTAGGTAAAGCTGTTTTCTTCTTAGATATCAGAAGAGTTTAGTGCCTTACTCAGTATACCTCAGAAAAAGTTCTGAGTGAGACTGAAATTTAGACTTTGGTGAAAACTTGAGCTCTACCTACAGAATCCCTGTGTACTTGAGGTTTTATAATGACAGCTCTGATCTCCTTCCTGCTAACCTGTTCCATTACTCAGATTGGCCATATCAATTGGGGTTTCTTTATAGGGCTGCAAACGTTAAAGAACGTACAATTTTGAGTCTTGGGTTTAGGGCAAATTTATTTGAATAAACCCTGTACTGAAATCATTATTAACAAAATGTTCTTAATTCTTCTTTGAAGCTGAGATGACTGACCTGAGTGTGGCACAAAAACCAGAAAAGCTTCTGGAGCGTTGCAAGTACTGGCCTGCTTGTAAAAATGGGGATGAGTGTGTATACCATCATCCCATTTCACCTTGCAAGTGAGTAAGAATGTCAAATGGGTATTTTGCATATTAATCTCTGCATCTGCTTCCTACTTTTTCTTTTTAGAGAAGTTTCATAAGTAAATACTTGATACTTACTATAACCTTCCCTAGAGCTTTGTGTGTGTTGAAAATGGTTGTGTTTGGTACCTATGATCCTGAAATATCTGGGTCCGTTGGGGTCCCTGTATATCACGTGTAACTATACAATTTGTTCACAGGCATCATCTGTTTTATTTAGGTTGGGAGTAAATTGGGTTATATGAGTAGTGAAAAATATTGTAGGTGTGGATTAGTTTTCCTTCCCAACTACTTGACATAATGCAGAGAATTTTGTGAGATTGTTTTTAGGTGGTGGTTTTTGTTTGGTTGGTCCCATGACTGGATTATGTCCTTTTTTTTTTTTTTTTTTTACTGTAAATACAGGTAGTATTTACATGTAAATACACATGTAAGGACTATAGGATGAATATTTCTATAGTACAGTGCCTTGCACTTGAGCTATGCTTACTATTTTTTAATTTACTTAAGATTTGGGGCTGGAGAGATGACTCAGTGGTTAAGAGCACTGGTTGCTCTTCCAGAGGACCCAGGTTCAATTCCCAGCACCCACATGGCAGCTCACACAACCATTTGTAACTCTAGTTCCACAGTATCTAACACGCTTACACAGACATACTTGAAGGCAAAGCATCAGTGCGCATAAAATTAAAATAAATATATTATTTAAAAGATGAAATTCAGAACTAAAAGTAAGATTTGGATATTCTGCTAAAGTGGAATGACTCAAGAACTCTATTCTGTGGTGTCTTACGGTCAGCATGGTAGAATTCTTCCAGATGTAAAATACAGTTGTAGTCTATTTTGGTATTTAGCTTCATTTGAAAAAGTACTAATTGCTTCCCCACCACAGGGGATTGAAGCTAGTGCTTCACACATATTAGAGAAGTTCTCTCCACTGAACTATGTTCCTAGTCCACTTATTTCTGTGTGTGTATGTGAGACAGACAGACTGGATACCACATGTGCTGGTGCCTCTAGAAGCCAGAAGAAAGCATTGGATACCCTGAGCTTTGAGGTGCAGGCAATAAGTGTTGGTGCTGGGAACTGAACTCAGATTCTCTAGAAGAGCAGGAAGTGCTCGTAAATAGTGAAGCTATCTTCCCAGCCATGCATGGTGATTGTGAAGTCCCTCTACAAAAAAACTCTAATAGTCATTGAGAATGTTAAATATGAATAATAAACTGTTTTTGTTTTGTAGAGCCTTTCCCAATTGTAAATTTGCTGAAAAATGTTTGTTTGTGCATCCAAACTGTAAATATGATGCAAAGTGTACTAAGCCAGATTGTCCCTTCACGCACATCAGTAGAAGAATTCCAGTACTGACTTCAAAACCAGGTTAGTGACTGTGCACTGTTGTATTTGGGTGAAAAAGTAGAAAGTGTCATTTTCTGGCTCTAAGTGAAATGAAACAACAAAAGAGTAGTTTTAGAAATTATTTTACCATTTAAAGAATAAATCTGCCCTTCTTTGCCATTTTATCTTGACTTATAGGTAAAACTTGGTATTATAAATTGAGTCTTACTTTAAAAATACCAGCAGACTGCATTAAAAAATGTTGTCACATAGATTTGACCATTCTTCATTTTGATTTTTGTTAGTAGTCTCATCACCAGCACCATCTTCTAATGGTCAGCTCTGCCGTTACTTCCCAGCTTGTAAGAAAATGGAATGTCCCTTCTACCACCCAAAAGTAAGACATTTTATGTTCCATTCTGATGTTTGGGTTTCTCTTTTGTGCACATTTTATTTTTGTTTATGTTTATGTGTGGGTTTGTGCACATGTTTGCAGATATCCTGCTATGATTCTGCTGAGATTTTGTGTCTCGGGAGGAGGTATATTTTTTAAGGCTTTCAGTGGTATCACAGAGGGCATTCCCACTTCTGTTAGTTTAGTTACAGTGGACTGCATGTGTTTATCTCAGGTGTATATTTTCTGTATTATCTTGAAGATTTTGTTGAAGCTTTGTTCCTCTCTTGATTCTGTTTAGCACTGTAGGTTTAATACTCAGTGTACAAGACCAGACTGCACATTTTACCATCCCACCATTACTGTACCACCAAGACATGCCTTGAAATGGATTCGACCTCAAACTAGGTGAGGATTTAAGTTAGCTTCTCTAATTTTAATGTCATTTAGAATTATATCCTGTGTAGAAGCACGCAAATCTGAGGGAAATTGAGTTTTTATCTCCTCTGTGCTTTAAAAAAAAATCAGACAAGGATTTTTTTTTTTTAGCAAAAATGATTTACAACGTGAACTACATTTACCCAGTGATGACATCATCTCCAGATGAGTTCTGTTTTTTAATCCAGAGCCCAGTGAATAATAGGGAGCCGCTGAATCCACCCTTCAGCCCCTATAACTTCTGAGCATCAACAGTACAAATATAACATCTAGGCCACCAGATTGTCTGTGTGTATATATTTTAACACACTGCTCTACAGTCTCAGATCAGGGCCAGGGAGACTGCTTAGTCTTTAAAGTATTTTCCTCACAAGCTTGAGGATCTGTCCGTATTTGATCACCAGAACCCATGTAAAATTGTGAACATGCACTTGTAATCCCAGAGTTGGGAAGACAGAGGCAGGAGGCAGATCCTTGGGGTTTGCTGGTCAGCCAGCCAGTCTAGCCTACTTGGTGAGTGTTCCAGGCCACGGAGTGTTTGTGAGGATGACATTTGAGGTTGTCCTCTGGCCTCTACATGCATGTCCATACATGCTTTAAAAAGTAAAAGAAATCCCAAGTCAGTTTTCTTAGACTTTAGTGATGGCAAAATACTGAAGTTTCAGAACATTTTAACATGGCCTAGAAGTTAAATTGCATAATTTTTAAACTTTAATCACTTTTATGTAATTGAATTCTTATAAGAACAAATACCTTTGCTAGAAGTTTTGTATTTATGTGTGGAGCAGTTAATTAAAAAATTTTTTGGTTTTATTTATTCAGCGAATGATGCCATAGTCCTACCTGGCAAGAAGATCATGGAGTTTGAAAGCTTCCATCTTCTATGAGAGATACTCTACAGAACTTGTCACGTCTTTGAAATTTAGAATATATTGCTTTCATAATATGAATTTTATTGCCTAACTGAAGTGTCTAATTTTTCAAGTTTGTAAGTTTATTAAGTGGTTTCAATATTTTTTGTTTGTTTTGACGATGAAAAAGACAGTTTTGACTATGAAGGAGACAGTTTGAAGAAAAGCCAAAGTCTATTAAAACATTTACGGCATGTTTGTACATTGCTGTTTAACATCATTTTTGGTAATGGTCCTGCAGCTTAGGGCTGTAGCGCTGTGGGAAGGCCATTGTCCTCACAGCTGAATCGCTTTTCCCAAAGATGATGCAGTGTTTTCTCACTGGGTTACAAGTAATACATCATCTTTGAGGAAATAGGAGTGGCCAAAATACTAACGCGGGTTTGAACAACTAATTTAAATTTTGGTTTTAATGTCTGAATCAATTTGCTTTGAAAAGCATAATACAGAGTCTTAGTTTAAGTGCTACTCTGGCAGAGTGGACTGAGATCCCTTGCCTTCTGTGAAAGTAAGTAGTGACATGGTCATATAGGATAAACATCGTTGGAATGACAAATGCAAAAACATATGAACAATTCCTTGAAACGCTTCCATTTACTATTAGTATATAATTTAAAAATAATTTTGGGGAAACTACATTATCACAAAATCATACAAAAAAATTTTACAAGTATATACAGAAAGTTTCAGAAAACAGACTTTGAACTCACAAGAGTATAAATATACATATATATTCCCATGTTCTGAAAAATATTGTCAGAAATAACTCCACAGAAAATATACTTAGTTACTCCTAAAGATCATTCTTGAAATGTAGAAGATTTAGGTGGTATATTTTAAATGACAGAACTATATATAATTATAGAAATCAAATGGGTAAACGTCACAATAGGATGAAACTTGGCCACTGTATTATGAAGTTTTATGTGTGTGGTTTTTGAAGCTGTTAAGGCAAGAAGTGTCAAATGTTTTAAATAACAGACAACTGATTTCTCCAGGACTTGATGTTTTAAAAATTAAAGTATAAGAGGTGGTTAGTAAAGGGGATAATAAAAGCTCAAACATTTTCAGGACCAAATTTAAACTGTTAAGTTACATAAGGGATGGATAATAAAGTCATGCCTATAAAAGTCTGTGTTTAACACTGTGAAGCCAGCCTTCTACTTCTGTGGTCATTGCCTTTCCATTGAGAGAGAAAAGCATTAAGCTAATTATTCAACCATTTCATAAGTTGGCCTTGGCCATGCTAATCCCATACATAGAGTAAAGATCAGAAAGAGCAAAAGGACAAAGGAGACAAGGGCCTAAAGCTGCTTGCTGCAAAGGGTCAGGTGAGGTGGCAATTTTTCATTCTGTAAGTGCATTCCATTACATTTAAGGCATTCATTCTAGCATTGCGTCTCAGCGAAAAATTTTGTTGGAAATTGTGTGAATTTCCAGAACTACGCTTTTTAACTATCACTTTCTAAAAATGGGCATAGATATGTTCTCATAACTGTCCAGTAAAGACCAGAAGTGAGGGATAGGGACTTAACTGGTTTAGCTTTTTATAAGAAAAGAACATGTGACAATCCAATTATTTTCTGTTATTTAGTAGACAGTGACACCGTAAACACATTTAAAAAGTGTTTTTGGTTTTTTTTTTTAAGATAAAGTCTCACATACTTCAGGCTATCAAACGCACTGTGTAGGCAAGAATGACTTTGAATTTCTGATTCTGTGCTTACACCTGGGATTATAGACATGCCCCATTTAATATGTGGTGCTAGGGATTAAAACCAGGGCTTTACAAATTTAGGTACACACTCTACCAACTGAAGTACATGCTATAGCCCCACATTCGAATGGTTTGTTGTTCAAGACTGTGGTTTATAGACAGGCTTATTCTGACCCTAAAACAATTAACTGGACTACTTGTTCTAAATGAAACCCACACAAGAAATGACACAGAGAAAAGAGTGAACATGGTTGATGATGATCAGAGTTCCAGAGTGCACTATGTGCTTTGCATGCATCTACATAGGGAACAAGTAGGATGACCATAACTGGTGGCAGTTTTCGGCTCTGAATTCAGATAGTGCAAGTACACACAATAATTCTCTGGATTCAAAAACTATTGGGCAGGTTGTATATGATTCGTCATTCTTTTCACAGTTGGTGGTTAATCCAGCAAGGTGGCCATATAATGACTACTTAAAAGTCAGCTTAACCTCTGGTCTTCAGTTATGGAACTGACCACTGCCGTGATAAAGACTGACTTGTCAGACTGCCACTTTGGGGGACAAAAATAGAAAAGAAGCAGTTTTTTCTTTATGGTTTACTTGTTTAACATTATGGACTTTTGTAGAACTGAAAATTTTCTGTAACTCAAAGCTGGCAAGCTGTCCAGAGGGGAAACCTTAGAACTATAATATGTACCATGCTTAAATTTGAAGGCGGTTTTCTTTTTACATGAATTCTTTATTGACTCCCATTTTTTGTAATACCAGTGTATTCTAAAACTTGGCCTAATATAGACGGACCATTTGGCATGAGCAGTGGAAGAGCTTCCTTATGCTTTAATGTCCTTGAAGTTCCTGCATCAGCCTTCAGCTTTAAAACTTGCCAGGCTCCAAGCACTGCTTAGACAAAAGTTCTCTGATGCAGTGTGTTCATTCTGGTTTTAATATTCACAATTTTTGAGCCATAGAAAACATAGCAAACCAAACAGGATTTCAGAGGCTTGGGGGAGGGAATCTATGCTACAAAGATAATTTACACAGTAAAATAAAAATGGAAACAACCAGTAGAGCATCCTCGGTGTCTTCACATGTAGAAAAATAAGTTTTACACGGCAGTCTACTGGAGTTTTCATGTTGAGGAAACTAGCGAGGCTAAACAGCAGTCCTGGAAGGTAAGTCCCAATCTTTGGCAGCATTAAAATGGAAGGATTCTGACTGAGCTCCTTCAGATGATCCTGGAGTCATTCATTTTGGAAAACAGCCTTACAGGATGGCATACATCTAGTTAAACAGCTTGTTTCAATACAAAACTATAAAAATGTATGCCCAGTGTTATTCGTGTATGAATTTAATGCTTTTGTTTACACAATAAACAAATGTTTATTAATTAGATCATACCTTTAAATATGCAGTATTATCTTTCAGTTAAGAGCTATTGCTATCACAGAACCTTAAAAAAAAACTGTACACGTGGAAATGAACGCTCATTATTATCACTTTCCCATTAATGCCATAATTTTGCTTCAAAATTGTATGGAGATGGCTCCGAAACACAAAGATTGACAGCTCAAGCATGAAAACGTGGACGTCATATGCTGCTGACTGGATCTGCTCTCAGCAGACTGTGGAGCAGTGTCCTTTGCAGAGGGCACTAAACTAATGTTTAAGGAACATTTGCCAGGAAATTCCCCTAAGAAAAACGTTTGCATTTTTAAAGCTGATACTTTAGGATGATGGTCACTTAACTTACGCCTTTCCTTGTACAAGGATGAAATAGTTCATTGAAGAAATGTTAGAAATGAGAAATTTTTCAATTTTTTTTTTAAGACTGCTGTACCCTAAATCTCCTGGGCAAGTCTGCCAAATTCCACACTCCTCAATAAGAGGAGGATGGCTTCTATCAAGTAATTCAGTCATTTGCAGTGTAATTATCTGGCAGTGTACAGATTATGGGTTGGTACATACAGCAAGCATTTTGAACTGTCAATCTTCTGCTGTGTGGATGATTCTCTGCATCCCTCCCTGTCAATCTTCAGTTAGCACCACTGGACCATGCAGTTTGGTTTTGGTTTTTTTTTTTGTCATGGAACTGGTCTTGAGGTGAGATTTGTTCAGTCTTCTCAGCATCATACTGGCAGCTCAGTGAGGCATATGTACACATTTCCAGACAAACAAACTGCAATCAGGAAAAAAAGGGACAAGGAGTTCATCACATTCTAGGTTTTTAGATTTTGCCAATTGATCTTTCAGATCACATGTACAATAACTTTGTTTGTTTGTTTATATGAGGTTAATGGCTTTGGAGTCACTGGCTATATTACCATCTGAGAGATGTTGGCTATATTCATTGCCAATGCTATATAGAGTTACTTTAGTAAGTCTTCACTAGTACTGAGGTAGTCATGCTCTTCGTGGACTGACAAATACTGACCTGCAGTCATCGCCTCCAGCACTGATAACATGTCGATCACCACTGGTAAATCGAATATTCGTCACATGGGGGGAATGACCTAGGAACCTCTTGTGCTTTGCCTAAAACAGAAACAAAGCTCACTCATTAGTGATGTATACAAAGGTTCCCAAAATTTATCACAAGAGTAGGGAGGTAGACCCCGGCAGTTACTGCAAAGAGTTTACAGGTCTGTGTACAACAAACTAAGTCATTTGGGTAGTCATATCTACAGGACCCTGGAAGCTTTTCTCTGTGAAAAAAGGGAGTGGAGTGGAACTTAGTTAAAAAAAAAAAAAGTTCATCAAAAAATTTGTGTACAAGTTTCCAGAGACTATAGGGCAGATTTTGTTTTTTTGAGACAAGGCTATCCTTGAATTCGGAAATCTACCTGTCTCTGCCTGTGGAGTGCTGAGATCAAAGGCAGGCATCACCACACCTGGCCTTGGAAGATTTGTTTTTAATAGCTTTTATTTTGGGTGTTGAGGAAACCTTTGGAAATGAAATTTTTACTACAGTATTTAGTATCAGCACCATAACATTTTACATAATGTGGGAAAAGATGAATCACCTAAGATACAACTAAAGTACAAAATACAAAAATACTGAACACTTACAAATTTTTCTGGGCATGGAAAATCATATAACTTAACCATGCCAAAGTCATCTCCTGTCACAAGGCTGATTCCTGAATGAGATACACAGGCACAGGTGACATCTGCTTTCTCAGCATGTCTGGACCAGATTCCCATAACTTCATCTCCCAGAATACTAGGTAGAGGGAAAACAAATACACCACAAAAAACAGACATTTTAACCATATTAAAAATAACAATTACCTCTGCCTCTCAAATGCTAGGGTAAAGATGTGTATCACCACACGTGGCTCTACCAGCTGCTTCATTACTGTTGATCTTTTAGGAAAATGCCATGACATAGTCAAGGTCATTACACTAATGCTTTTTAAGAACTTGTTTGAACCATGGAAACTGATAAAGTGTAGGACAGTATTTAAATGGAAGGGGTCCCAGAATCAACATAGCTATTTATTTGTTGAAAATTCAAGATAGGATAACAAAATCATGTATTCCATCATGCAATAACTTCAAAAATAGATTTTGCTACTTTTGTTTTTGAAACGGTCATGCAATATATCCCTGGCTAGCCACAAATTTGCTATGTAGATCAAGCGTGCCTTGAACCTGAATCACTTCTGCCTCCCATAATCCTAGGACAACACAGGAGTTGAGCAACCATGCCTAGGCTGGTTTCCTGCTTTCTGCTCAAACGTGGCCTTGTTCGTGCTACTGAGCCACATTCCCAACCCATAATTTCCAACTTCTCTAACCTCAAAAATCACTTGAGTGAAGTGTTTATTTACCTTGTCCAGGTAGCCCATGTGATCCTATCAATGGCAGCATGGTCTACAAGGTGTTTTCCTGAAGGCACTTCATAGACATGCCGTTTATAGCAGCCACTAGAAACCTGCTCTCAAAACGAGAGGAAACATCCATTATTAGTAGATATCTCTGTTATGTGTCATCATGAGGACGTAAAAAAATCAAAGCATGGAAGGAAGGTAATGAGATGCAGGTGAGACTAGCAGGAGCCGAATGAGCGGATACCAAGGTCTAATGCACAGCAATAAACACCGGAGGCCATCATCTACTGTAGTTGGTATTCCTGCTGAATGATGAGATTCTAAACAACACTTGCCACAGACTATCTTCTGAGACAATGGGCATGATAGTTTTATATGTAAGCCATAACATGTACACATAAATAGTAAAGTTCAATTTCACAGAGCAGGATACAGAAGTAATACAGAAAAAAACAGATCAGTGAGTTCAGATACAGTCCCTGGGGCTTTAAATGCATTCACTAAAGAAATGTACAAGCAAGTATCTTTAGAAATTGGATGCAGTATTGATGTTGTACCTGGAGATGTCTGCTATCTGCAGAGAAGTCCATTTGAATGACAAAGCTTGGAATGTCTTTGCAGTAGCTGATTCGGTTAAGGGTGGGACCCAATGTTAGGTCATAAAAGTCCACTGAGTTCTCACTAGAACCCACTGCCAAATACCGGGAATCTGGACTAAATCTGAATGCATAAAATGTTAAAAAAAAAACAAAAAACCATTAGGTCCCATGTAATTGTTCAACTGTTTTTAATATCGGGCTTACTCCAGCACCTGAAAAATCAGTGTGTTTGATATGGCTTTAAGTTACCTAGGAGACATAACTGTGCAAGCACACAGATTGCATTTGCCTAGTAACAATTAGTAAAGATTTTTGCAGTTTGCTTATACTAAATATCTCTTGTCTTCCAATTCTAATTTTAAAATAAGTTGGTTTGGTTTGGTTGTTTTGTGACAGGGTTTCTCTATGTAGCCCTGGCTGTTCTTTAGACCAAACTCAGGGATCTGCCTGCCTTTGCCACCCAAGTGCTGTGATTAAGTGTGCACCACCTCAACTGGCTTCAAAATAATCCAAAAACATTCCAGAATTGCTAAATTAACATATTTCATAAGATAGAAAAATGATGTCTTAATATCCAAATACCAGTCAAATTAGCTCACTTGGGTTGTTAGGGTAAAATGACAACTCTAAGCTGGAAGAATATTTATTAAAAGGTAAATCACAAAAGTTCTCCCCTATCAGTCACAGGAAGCAGTAGGGTACAAACTGAGTCCTGAAAAATGTCCCAGGAGTCCTGTTGAGTAACAATAGAGATATGGAGAGGTGAAGAAAAGCCTTGAGATTTCTTTTATAAAAAGGGGTTTACAGTGGAAAACACCCATTTTTGACAGACCCAGACCCAGGGTAGCTACTATGAAAATTAGTTTAAGCACAAAGAAAAGATCAAGAAAGGGTTAAAGGCCCCAGAGACCATTCAGTAGAAGGTAAAGTAAGTAAAGTCTCCTGCTGCCATGCCTGCCAAACCTGAGTTCAGTCCCCAGAATCCACATGGTGGAAGGAGAGGACCAGCTTCTACAAGTTGCCCTCTGACCACCACTTGTTCACCCTGTAGTATGTGCATGCCCACATATATACACAGCAAATCTTTCAAAAAAAAAAAAGGTTTTGGTTAATTTGAATTCTGGGAAATAGTTATTTAGTATTGCCTGAATGAATGAACTGGGAAAGCAAGGAGAAGCTCTGGGGAGGAAGGCCACAGCTGACCTGTGAAGCCTTGCTAGGATTAAGCAAAGGTATTTTAACCTTGGTTTTCAAACTTCTAGATGGCTGCCGGCTCTCATATTAATGGCACAAACCAGTTCTCAGTAAAGCAGTTTACTGCACACGTCTAGTAGTTGGTATCATAAGATAGGTAATGTTCATTAGGATTTTTTATTTAGCAAGAAGAATTTCAACATAACCACACCAGCATACAACTTATATAACATGCATAATTGCTAGAGGTGTAGCTCAAGGAATAGAGCCTTTGCCTCAAAGGCATCAGGTCATGGGTATCCTCCATACTGCAAAAATAAATTAGGAATTACCTGTCAGGACCTATTCTGGATGTATGGGCAAGTTTGTGTTTTTTAAAGTTTATGCTGGTCATTGTAAAAATCAACTAGAAAATTTATTTCATCTGTTGACTAACCTGATGTCATGGATTGCACATCGTCTGTCTCTCTTCTTTCCCCATATTTTCAGAGAACTCACAAGTAATATAATAAATTCTCCGTTTTTCATTCCAATAGCCACCATGTCCCCTTCAGGGCTATAACACACTGTCCGGGCAGCATGTCCCAAATTTACTTTGTTTAGCATCTTCTGCATAAGAAGCAAGAGTCACAGGAAACATTTACAGTTGAAACCAATTTTCCTCAAACCTCAATATCAAGCTAAAGTTAGCAGTTGAGGATTTGCACTTCTTAAAAGCTGTAACCTCTCATTAAAAAACTGTTTATACCTACTTTATCAGCAATATCCCAGAGTCTCACTGTCCCATCTTCTGCAGCAGAAAGGAAAAAATCCCTGGAAGGATGTGTTGCTAGTCCCCATATTGGCCCATCCACATGACCATTAACTAAAATGTTACATGCTGCATTTTTCTCTCCAACTTCAATTATTTCAGCATTCCTTGTCCCAACTAATATCTTGCCCTGAAACACAGAGGGACCAATCCACTTAATGCAATACAACAGTTACATGCTTTGAACTAATCTAGTTGCAAAGTAATCATTAGCTCATACAAACGTTTCTCTTCCTAGGGACACACAATGGCAACATCCCTGGGCTACTGCATGGCAGAGTCTGTGCTAGAGACAACTTCTCTCTACGGTGATATATCTGTACTCTTTAATATTCAGAGTTTTGGCTTTGACTATCATAATATTAGGACCCTCTGGATGGGAAAAAATGCACTGAGACACAAAAAGAACTAGAATTCATTTTTTAGTTGAAAAGTAAACTGCTAGGTTTGGTGGCATACACCTGTAATACCAGCACATGGTAGGCTGAGGCATGATGACTGCAAGCTCCAGGTCAGCCTGGACTACACAGCAGAACTTGTCTCAGCAGAAGAATGTTTAAAGTAAACTTAGCTAGGATTTAAGTATACAGACAGGACAGCACATGCATTTGATTTATAGCACACAGTGCAAGTGCATAACAGTTTTCACAGAAATGGATGAGATTTTGTTTCTTGGGGGGGGTGGTTCTATTTTGTTTCGTTTTGTTTTTTGTTTTTTTTTTTAAAGATTTATTTATTTATTATGTGTATAGCATTCCTTCCATGTGTGCTCGCATTTCCAGAAGGGGCGCCAGGTCTCATTATAGATGACTGTGAGTCACCATGTGGTTGCTGGGAATTGAACTCAGGACCTCTGGAAGAGCAGTCAGTCAGTGCTCTTAACCACTGAGCCATCTCTCCAGCCCTGTTTTTTGGTTTTTTGAGACAAGGTTTCTCTGTGTAACTGTCCTGGCTGTCCTGGAACCAGCTCTCGTAGACCAGGCTGGCCTCAAACTCACCTAGATCCACCTGCGTCTGCCTTCCGAGTACTGGGCTTAAAGGTGTGCGCCACCACTGCCCGATATGGTTTTGTTATTTTTAAAGGAAACAGAATAGGGGAAATTAAAGTTGAAAGAGAAAGAAGACCCTCACTCAGGTATTTGATTTGTTTTGTTGTTGTTGTTTTGTTGTTTTTTTTGCTGAATGAAAATCAATAAACAGAAAACAACCCCCCACCCCAAACATTCTGGAAGACTTTATTTTTTGTTTGTTTGTTTGTTTGTTATTTCGGTTTTTTGAAACAGGGTTTCTCTGTGTAGTCCTGGCTGTCCTGGAACTCACTCTGTAGACCAGGCTGGCCTCAAACTCAGAGCTCTACGTGTCTCTGCCTCCTGAATGCTGGGGTTAAAGGCAGTGCCCAGCTAGTAAGACTTTCTAAAAAATAAATCCCTTTTTCTGAGAGCTGAGTTGGGTGTGTTGGTGCACATCTGTAATTCCAGCACTCAGGAGGTCGAGGCAAGACCACAACATAGGTGATCTTTGAGTTTAACTTCATCAGCATTCATCCCTCATTCATAAACCTAAGCCACCTTAAAATCTCATTTACAAAGGGAATTTCTTTAAGATAAGTAAACCAGCTTATTTTAAATTTTAATTTGTAAATTTTAATTTTAAAACTTTGCTTAAGGGACTAGAAATACAGTTTAGATTAGCACTTAAGAGCAGTAGCTGCTCTTGCTGAGGAAATGGGTTAGATTCCACAGCTCATAATGATCTATAGTTTCCAGGGATATGATGCCCACTTCTGGCTTTGGTGGGCACCAGGCACACACAAAGTACACAGATACACATGTAAGAACACCCATACACACAGAACAAACATATCTTAAAACAACAAGCTTTGTTTAACCTTGAACATAGCTGCAACCTTTGGGCAACATATCGTAAAAACTCCCAAATCCGAAGAGCTCTCATGCCCGGCTAAACCCCTTCTCCACTTCATTCACACTGGCTTGCCCAGACATTCCTTTCTTCATTACATGTCAAGACCCTAGCCATATGTGGATAGAGGTCCCTAAGAGAGGAACTCCTCGGGGTATGGCCAGTAGCATGGGGAAATGCTGTTGCTGGAGACACATGGAAAGAGCTGCTCTAATAAAAACGAGTCAGTGGTGAGGATTTTCAACCTATCTTACCATAAGTCAATCAGAAGATTCAAGACAATACCAAGGTTTAAAGAAAACTCGCTTAGACACAAGTTTTCTGTATTAGTAAACAGTGGACATAACAGCACCCTATAAATCAAGTATAGGTTATTAAGTTACAAAGTACAGGGATCACAGCACAGTTGCATCACACTGGCTCAAGGAACACCTTACTTTGCCTCTGCACACAGACCGGACACAATCTGTGACTTGTCCTGTCTCAAGCCTGAAGGCCCGACATCGCCTCAGTTCCTGGTCCCACAGTTTAACTGCACCTCCTTCCTTTGACCTAGGTAAATAAAAACAAAACTCAAATAAGTGTTTATAATTGACTACTACAATAATTTTCATTTTAAACAGAATATTTTAAACACCCTATTTATAACTTGTAGTATTCTAAATTATCAGTCAAGTTAAGGATACATACTGTATCTCAGTCAAAATGTGCTTCCAATTTGGTAAACTTCATTTTGTGAAATATTTTTATCTGACACAAGCATAATTTTATTTAGTCCACTTTATAATAAATTTCTCATAGTAGTTCTCCATTAAGAAAATGCAGAAAAGAGGACTGTTTTGTTTTCCAAGATTGTGTGTGTGCACACATACCATGGTATGCATCTGCAGGTCAGAGAACAACTTTGGAATCTGTTCTCCCTTTCCACCTTTACCTGGGAATTAAACTCATCCCCAGGCACGTATGGCAAATGTCTTAACCTGCTAAGCCATCACACCAGCCCCACAAGATTTTTTTTTGCGGGGGGGGGGGGGATTGAGACAGGGTTTCTCTGTGTAACAGCCCTGGTTTTCCTGGAACTCACTCTGTAGACCAGGCTGGCCTCACAGAGATCCACCTGCCTCTTGTCTCCTGGGTGCTGGGATTTAAGGTATATGCCACACGCCTAGTTCACAAAACAATTTCTAACATTAGAAAGATAGCCGAAATGCAAAACAAGAAAGAGCATTATGGATGTTGTGCCACAGGATTTACTTTTAAAGGCCCAAAGGGCAGCACATTTATTAAATATCCTACAATTATTAAAATATCATGTTATACCAGGTCATTAGTAAAGGTGTGCAAAATGAGGTGGTATGGAAAATACAAGTATTTGGAGTAATATACAAAGGATAAAATAGAGCCATTTATGGATTTTTCTTTTGAAAAAAAAACTGAAAAATAATTCCTTCATTTTGCCTTAGGAGAAAACACACCTTCCCATTAAAGAAACAGCAGACCTATGTGCTCAGTAGGTAACTGTAGCGAAAGAACTGTGTACTTTGTAGTTACTGTATGTCACTTTTTAATTTCCAGATGACTACACTGGTGGCAAATGACTTTTATCTGTTTTTTTTTTAGGGGGTAGAGGGGAAGGGAGCAAGTGGTTTGAGGCAGTCTCATTGCCTCCCTGAGGCAGCTATCTATGTAGAGAGGTTGGCCTCAGTGAACTCAGAGAGATATGCCTGCCACTGTTGCCACTGTGCTGGGATTAAAGACATGTATCATTATACCCCGCTTTAATTTGATTTTTTAGAAGACTTATCATAATTTTTTAAATTATGTGCATACATATCTGTGGGGGGGGTCTATGCATGTATGAGTGTAGGTGCTCTCAGAGTCCAGAAGAGGGCCCTGGATCCTTGGAAGCTGGAGTTACAGGTAGTTCGGAGCTGCCCAGCATGAGTGCTATGCTGAACTCAGGTCTTCTGCAAGAGCTGTACATGCTAATAACTGCTGAGGCATCTCTCCAGACCCTTGATCCTATTTTATTTATTTATTTATTTGCTTTTTGGTGTCTGTTTGTGTTCCTGTGCATGGATGTATGTGGTCACAGACTTCTATACATTTCCACCACCAGGTGTCAGTCCTTGCCTTTCCACCATGTCTCAGATAGGCTTTCTTTGAAGTTGATCCAAACAAGCTGGATGGGCTTCTCCCCGTGGGAAAGTGCCAGGATTACAAGTGTTTGTGCTCCTTGGTCTGGCTTCTCCGGGTTTTCTGTGGGTTCTGGGTTGGTTCTCAGGTGATCAGGCACATAGTGTAAGCACTTTTACTCACTGAACCCTCAACTCAGCCCAGAAATCAATTTTAAATATCTGGTTACTGTTTGGATATTTGAAAGTAATGCAGACAAAGGTCTCTGCTCACGCTTATGGCTGAGGTCGTGTAAGAACAATTTCAGAAGGGGCTGGAGAGATGGCTCTGGGGTTAAGAGCACTGCCTGCTCTTCCAAAGGTCCTGAGTTCAATTCCCAGCAACCACATGGTGGCTTGCAACCATTTGTAATGGGATCTGGTGCCCTCTTCTGGCCTGCAGGCATATACACAGACAGAATATTGTATACATAATAAATGAATAATAATAATAATAATAATAATAATAATAATAATAATAATAAAGAATGATTTCAGAAGCTGTCTCCTCTTTCACTACCATGACTCTGAGCCTCACAGGGTGTAGAAGGAGCAGTGGGCCGCTTCCCGCCGCCTGCCTCCCAGCTAGCTTTAACCCTGAAATAATTACATGGAAACTGTATTCTTTTAAACACTGCTTGGCCCATTATCTGTAGCCTCTTATTAGCTAACTCTTACATATTGATCTAACCCATTTTTAATAATCTGTGTAGCACCACGAGGTGGTGGCTTACCAGGAGGATTCTAACCTGCAGCTGTCTCGGAAAGGAGAGTCATGGTGACTGCCTGCCTCTGTTTTCTTTCTCCCACAATTCTGTTCTGTCTACTCCACCCACCTAAGGGCTGGCCTATCAAAAAGGCCAAGGCAGTTTCTTTATTAACCAATGAAAGTAACACATAGACAGTTAACACTCCTCCATCAACAGGGAGGGAGGCAATAGGGAATGAAGATGTAACTTGGCTTCTAGAGTAAAGGTTTCTCTTCATGTCCTGTCAGCAATACTGATGCGGGCACACAAGGACTAGGGACATCATTCTTAATCAAAAGCACAGCTGCCTTTGGCCATCTCAGACAAGTAGCACTCTGGCTGCAGTTCAGCTTTATCTAAGATGGCACAGTGGGTAATGAGACTCCAAGCAAATGACCTGAGTTTGACCCCTGGAATGCACATGGTAGAAGGAAAAAACCCTTTTCCACATGTTGTCCTCTGATTTCTACACATGTCCTGGGCATATACTTCCCTCCACCCACTATGCACAAAATAAATTAAAAAATCAGTGAAAACTAAAATGTAAAAAAAAAACACTATTTAAGACAAGATTTAAGAGAACCCAAAAATCACACATAACTAGCAACAAAGGAGAAGTAAATGAGCAATTAATCTGTGCAGCCTAGAGGAGACCAGAACACCCAACTTAGGCCTTGGGTAGATCACAAATGCACACACAGTCAGGAAGGGTATGAAAGAGGACTCACGGCCTTTCCTTGCCACCAGTCACAATCAGCCCGTCTCGCAGGGTGGTATACATGGCAAACACAGGCCCATTGTGCGCTCTGGCCACCACTCTACACAATATGTGATCTTTCCACACACAGACATCACCACTGATGGTACCTGTAAACGTCAAGTTATTCTGAAAAGGAGTGGGGAAGGGGGGAGACAAACTCATCAAAAGTTCAAAAAGAGGTCGAACAGATGTCATCCTCTATGTGAGCCGAATGCTAGTTCACCTGCTTTGACAAAGCACATGCAAAGTGGAGTGGGCAACACTGGACCCAGGAGAGGGGGTTGAGTGACGCTTAGTTAGTTCCCTTAGGACCTTTTCCTTTCCTAAATCTGTCCTTTGTTAGTGGGACGAGCCTTGGATAAATCTTTCCTAAAATACTATAACTCCAGCTGACACTTTTCTTTGAGTCAGGGCCCTCCAGCGGTCCAAGAGCTAATCCAAAGGTCACTAAACACTAAGAACGAAAACAAGGGGTGGTTAGGAATAAGGAGTGAAAAATAATGAGTTTGCTAAAGAATTTTGTCACAGACAATAAACCTATTATCAAAGCGAAGAGCTCACTAACTCCTGCAGATCTAGGAAAGTCACTACTTGGTGCCTCTCTGCAGTTAGAGCACACTTCAGCTATGGACACCAGCATTCCTCTCCTTTTCTCTGTCCAGTCTCCAACATGGAGTCATCATGTGACATTTGAAAAATTATTAAACTGAACATAAAGCTATTCTGTGAGAAAATATCCTGGTCACACTACTGCTTCATACATTAAAAAGCTATTTTTCTCCTGTAATAGCTGTTAAGTTTATTATTTACTTTTTATTTATTTATTTATTTCACCAAGAATGGGCACTTGGCTACAAAGTAACTTTATGAATAAAGGAAGTTCATCTACAGACATGGACAGATCAAGTGCCAGGATCATTTCAATAGGGGTTTCCTTCTAGAAACAAATGGCTACTCTTATATTAAGAATGAACAAAAGGTTCTATTTGTTTGATATTGTTAGTCATTTTTTAAAAAATATTTAAGTGTATTCAACTGTTCTAAACTTGTAACTTTCTTTCTTAAAATGTATATTTCACATTTTTTTTTTAAAAAAATCTACTTCATTTTCTGTGGAATTTTAAGAGAATTTGAAAAGTCTAGCCAGGGCAGGGTATTAAAGGAGAAGAAGTGGTTATAAACTACTACAGACCCAGGTGGATGGAATGAGAGACAGCAAGAGACTCTTGGACACTCCACTGAGGGCAGGGACTGTGTTCTCTGGCCTCAGCTCCCTGCTCCTCTGGATCAGACACTGGCCCTGGAGTATTTCCAACTACAAGATGGACAGTGGTTCTGGTGACAGAAAGCGAAGGAAAGCAAAGTGCCCTGAAGACACTGAGCATGGCTTTCCTGGTTTCCTTTTCTTTTGCTATAACACACGGGAGGTGCACAAGGAAGCACGAGGACGGCTGAGATCGCAGCTGGTGGAGTGTGACAAGTACATGACCAATGAAGCTTGGAGGACGGGAATGTTCCAAGGGTGCACATGTTTGACAGCAACTATCTCATTCACTTTCTTGTTTAGTGTCATTCACTCCTTAATGTTTAAAAGGACTAGACCTTTTAAAGATGACATATCCTTGACCAGGATTTGCACTGACTAGTCAATAGTAATGTCGCTTATGAATATACGGCAAGAAAACTTCAAGCCAAGACACACCATCACACAGCATTTTAACAGACATACTGCACCAAATGCAACAGCAAGCATCGTCTGCATCCGGGCATCCTCCAGTGTGCTCAGAAGCCCCTTTTTGCTGAGAAGAGCCCTTCCTGCCAGGGTCCAGAATTTCACGTGCTTTATACCCACAGAGACAAACTGGGTATCTGAATCTGGTCGAAATTCTGCTACAAAAATACGTTGGTTGTGCCCAGCTCTGCTGGCAATTCTGGCCCCTGATACAGAAGACACAACAAAATTTCACAGGTTAGTATAAGAACTGAGCTAATTGCCAGGACTGAATAGTTTCCTCAAATCGCATAGCTAAGAACAAAACAAAACAAAACCCAAACACAAATGCTTGCAAGAAGGCCTTGACACTTGCTCTACTACTTAACAATCATATGACCTATAATCAATGGTACATACATCTTTACAAGTGACATATGTTTATGGGCTACTTTATGACAATTTATGGGCCATTTTAAGGACCATACCTTTTTCTATGTAGTTACATTAATTTCTCATATAAATTAAATGGTCTGTATAGAGTGTGTTGGAGAATTTATTCTATTGGTCTTCCATTCTCAATCCCAGGACTCTCAGGAGGTAAAGGCAATGAATTCCAAGCCAGCAGGACTATAAAGAGAGACCCTGTCTCAGAACAGAATGTGTGTGTGTGCATCTTTTCATGAGTAATGGATGTAGCTCAGAGTCAAGTCACCTATGTAGTATGTGCTGTGGGGAGGGGGGTATGTGTATAGGTATATGAATGTTTATGTGTGTATGTATGTGTGTGAATATAGGCATGTCTATGAGTGTATGCATGTATATGCATGCATGTGTGGGTATATGTATGCGTGTTTATATGTGCATGGGTGTGTGTATGAGTATATGTTATATATGTGTGTATGTGGGGAGCATGTGTGTGTCATATGGCTATGTTATATATATATGTGTGTTATGTATGTGTTATGTATGGTGTGTATCTGTGTTTGTAGGTATGTGTTATGTATGTGTGTTGTGTATGCATGCTTATGCATGTGTGTATTGTGTTTATATGTGTGTAGGTATGTGTTGTATATGTGTATGTTTCATGGGTAAGAGATGTGGTTCAGTAGCAGATTACCTATGTAGAATGTACCAGGATCTCAATACACTCTAGAATTTGATATGTAACCCTAGTAGGGTTTCAAATCACAGCAATCCTTTTGCCTCATCCTCCTGAGTGCTGGGATTAAAAGCAAGTGCCCCATGCCTTACAATTTTCATTTTTTACTAAAATATCTCAGAACTAATCAAATCATTAGCAAAAACACAGTTTCTACTGAAAAGAAATCATTGCAAATCATTTTTTAATACTAACTGGTTTCATTATCTCATGTTTTGTGAGCTTATGTCCTCACTGGGGTTTCTTAAGGGCGCACATATAGCGCTACCAACTGTGTGCTATACGTTTTGGTCCTACAATCCCCAACTTAAGGCAAACGCTAAAAGGGAGCATTCATACAGTTCTAGTATTCTTGTGAGCTTTCGTTGGCTTGTTTTGGTTTGTGTATGTGTTGTTTTGGTTTGGTTTTTAAATCACACAAACGAAAAGAATCCTACCTTCCTGCCATCTCCAAATGGTAATGGTGTGCTCTGGGTCCAGCCCCACAGACAGCAGTAGCTTCCCAGTAGCACTGAAGCTGACGGAGCACACACCCTTTGAATGGGAGCATCTTAGTATAGACAATGTCTGCTTGTTCACTGCATCCCAGATGTGCACAGATGGGGCTGTAGCTGAACAAAGACAAAACCCAAGTGTTATGACCATTGTCAAGTCACCACTTCAGAAGCCAGAATACACATACCTAAACATGGAACTATGTACATAAGAGGAATGTAGTTTATAATAGCTCAAAACTGAAGCTAAATTTTAAAAAGAAAATAAAAAGGAGGGGAAAGGAAAGAAAGGTAAAAATACAGAATCCTTCAGGATATATGGTAAGTTGTACTTTCAAAAAAAACCAGCATCTCCCAATTAAAAAAATGGGGTGCTGATCTGAACAGAGAATTCTCAACAGAAGAACTTCGAATGGCCAAAAGACACTTAAGGTCATGCTCAACATCCTTAGCGATTAGGGAAATGCAAATCAAAACAACTATGAGATACCATTTTACACCGGTCAGATTAGCTAAAGTCAAAAACACCAATGATAACCTATGCTGGAGAGGATGGGGAGAGAGGGGAACTCTCATTCATTGTTGGTGGGAATGCAAACTTGTGCAGCCACTGTGGAAATCAGTGTGGCGGTTTCTCAGGAAACTGGGAGTCAACCTCCCTCAAGACCCAGCAATTCCACTCTTGGGAATATACCCAAGAGATGCCCTATCATACCACAAAAGCATTTGTTCAACTATGTTCATAGCAGCACTATTTGTAATAGCCAGAACCTTTGGAAACAACTTAGGTGCCCCTCAATAGAAGAATGGTTAAAAAAGGTGTGGAACATATATACATTAGAGTTTTACTCAGCGGTAAAAAACAATGACATCTTGAATTTTGCATGCAAATGGATGGACATAGAAAACGCTTTACTGAGTGAGATAAGCCAGACCCAAAAAGAGGAATATGGTATGTATTCACTCATAAGTGGATTCTAGCCATAATTAAAGGTCTTTGAGCCTATTATTCGTGAACCTATAGAAGCTAAATAAGAAAGTGAACCTGAAGAAAATCATGTAGTTATCCGCCTGGAGATTGGAAATAGACAAGAGTGCCAGGTAACCTCAGGTGCATGGGGGGATGGGGGGTTGTTGGAAGGGGAGAGGGTTAGAGAGAAGGGAGTAGGGGAGGAATGGGGAAAGCTCGGGGGACTGGGATGGGGGGAGGGAGGAAGGATGGATATGGGATCAGGGAAGTATATATCTCAACTAAGGGAGCCATTTTAGGGTTTACAAGAGACTTGATTCTAGAGGGGTTACCAGGTCCAAGGAGAGATCCCCAGATTGTTCTCTGGACAGAGGAGAGGGTGCCTGAACCGACCTTGGCACACAACCATACTGATGAATATTTTGCATTTCACCATAGAACCCTCATCTGGCGATGAATGGAGATAGAGACAGAGACCCACATTGGAACACTGAACTTAACTCCCTAGGTCCAAACGAGAAGCAGAAGGAAAGAGAACGTGAGCAAAGGCAAGAGCAGAGAGAACCTTCATCCGGCGATGGATGGCGATACAGACAGAGACCCACATTGGAACACCGGACTGAGCCCCCCAAGGTTCAAATGAGGAGCAGAAGGAGGAAGAAAATGAAAAATGAAATCAGCCCGCGAAGGGTGCCATCACCCACTGATACAAGGGGACTGATCTAATGAGAGTTCACCAAGGCCAGTTGGACTGGGACTGAACGAGCATGTGATCCAACCAGATTCTCTGAATGTGGCCAGATTCTCGGAAAGTGGCTGGCCCGGAGTCTTTCTGAAAAGCCATTGACAATGACACTGGGACTTGTTTCCTCTGCATATACTGGATTTTTGGGATCCAGTCTGTTTGGATACTCACCTTCCTGGACCTGGAGGGAGGGGGGAGGAACTTGAACTTCCCACAGGGCAGGAAACCCTGACTGCTCTTTGGGATGGAGAGGAAGGAGGAGAGGGAGTGGGGGGAGTAGGAGGGTGTTGGGAGGAGGGGCGGAAATGGAAACTTTTATAATTTAATAAACTTTGAATAAAAAAACAGCATTTAGGGAAAAAATCAGAACAATACGAAACAGCTCATCAAACAAAGTGTGTCTGAGAACAGTAGGCAGCGGTCAGTGAGAACATGGCAAAGCTCTGGAGTGGAAAAAATGTTTTACATTTTTTTCAGTCTTCATAGAAGTTATATTGAAACTGAAACATTTAACACAGTACATATGCTACATACAAGTAAACATTCAATATTGATATCCTCTGAAAGCAATGCAAAGCACATGCAACTGACAGGCAGCTAATGGCAAAACAGCTGGACAAATCCCACGGAAAAATAAACTAAGTAGATGGGAATCTGGGAATGATTACACACCCTGAAAGACTTTTTAAAAACACTACTTCTTAATAGATTATCATCTACAACAGTCAAGCTTGCAGTCATGTTGGTTACATTTTCTAGATATATAAAGATATATTTCAATTAGATAAGTATTTTTCAGATCTTTCAGAGACCTTTACAATATGGCATTTAAAATATTTTAATAACTTAGGACATTTCGTGACAATGAGACAGGTCTGCTTCTGGCAGCACCAATTACTTCAAGAGGAAGATTTGCATTGAAGGGGCTCCTAATGGAGTGTGCAAGCCCTTTGGGCAAGAAATTGGTCTTGCCTGGACTGTTTGACTGGATATGAAAGACCTGCAGAGAAATGACTGCTGAATTTGCCTAAAGGTAAGATGATCCTACGAGGTTCCTGCCTCATGAAAGAGTATGTAAAACATTCTACAGGATACAGAAGAAAATGAATGAACTGTCTTTGAAATTTTCTGCTTCATAGAAAAGTCTGATGGATTCAACAGGTCTGTAGGCTGACGATGGATGCCCCAATGGTACAGTAAAACTTTGGGTGACTGTCCCGGCAGTGAGATGTCTCTGTCAATTCCAAAGTTTTGGAAGTTGCTTACAATGTACTTCCTATTTAGTTAGGTAATATTATATCCTTCTGGAGTCTTTGATGAAGTTGAATAATTTATAGTTATAGTTTTCCTTACTTATAATAAAAGATAAAGTAGATATAAAAAAATAAAAACACCACTTCACTGGAAAAAACAAAACCATTAATATTAAAAGGTATATTATTTATCCTTTTCTATATAAGTTCTTTTGCACCCCTTTCTGCTCCTCCTGGGAAATGAACCAAGGGCTCCATGCTTAGTGAACAAATGATTACCACTGAACTACATTCCAACCTGCTTCTCTTTATTATCTAAGCTATCATAGTTTTGTGTTTTCTTCTTTTCAAATTATAACCTAAAATTGAAGTTAATTCAGCAGCTAATTCAGTCTTAAAATCTAAGCATTCTTACTAAAACACTCAAAATACTAACACGCATTTTCTTCTAATTATAAACTGCAAAGATAGAAAAACATTAAAGGAGATAAGCTGCCTGGAATTATTTTACATAGGAGGAAATTCTGGCCTTTAGAAAACAAATTTCAATAAATTTGGACATTTTACAATATCTGCTATTTATAATGTACAAATGATAAATCTAAGAAACCTTCAAATAAAGCAGTTAAAATGTGTTAAAGTAGAGAGATGGACTGTAAAACTTTACAAGGATATATAAAAGTTTTACCAATAATAAAATTGAATACTTATATTTGAAAATGTTGGGGACTAGAATATATGTCAGTTGGTATAGTACTCGCTAGTATGTATAAAGCATAAATTTTGATTCCCCAGAACAACATAAATAACATGTCCAGCATATACCTATATTCCTAGGTCTCAGATGATGGGGACAAGAGAATGAGAAATCCAAAGTCATCCTCATAGATAAAAGGAGTTTGAAGCTAGCTTGGGATACATCCGCTCTTAAGAAAAAGAGGGAAAGAAGAAAGAAAAATTTGAGTATTGAACTGACTCCCTCACTCATTAAGAATCAAAGTAAAAGCCAGTGAGCAAGCCTGCAAGATTAGATGGCTCAGCAGGAAGAAGACCTGTCACCAAGCCCAAAGACTTGAGTTTGATCCCCAGGAGCACTGGCTCCCACAAGATGTCATCTGACCTCTGCATGCATGCAGAGCACACATCCAAATAAACAAATGAATGTAATTTTTAAATTTAAAAGTGAACTTACCCTGCAAATTGGTAAGTAATATAATATAAAATGACTTAAATCAAAAACATATATATGGCTAGGTGGTGGTAGGACATGCCTTTAATCCCAGTACTTAGGGGACAGAGACAAGCAGATCTTTGGAGTCTGAGGCCAGCCTGGTCTACAGAGAAAGTTGCAGGACATCCAGGGAAGTTACACAGGGAACCGTGTCTCAAAAAAAAAAATCCAATAAATAAGTAAATATATAAATAAATAAATGCAATAACTGCTATTACTATGGTATAGTTTTCTGGAAATGATAAACATTAGTATGCCTGTTTACAAAAGATTCCTCTGAGATATTCACAGACTATATTTGCCAGAATACAATGGGATAGACAACATATTTTTTTTCTTCTCGAGACAAGGTTTCTTAGTAGCTATGGCACCAGTCCTGAAACTCATTCTGTAGACCAGGCTGGCCTCGAACTCACAGAGATCTGTCTGCCTCTGCCTCCCGAGTGCTGAGGTTAAAGGTACGTGCTACCACCACCCAGTTAGACAATAAACTCTTAGTAAATTATCACTAAATGTACTACAAATTATAAAGCATTCTATCTGTCTAAAATTCAAATAGCAAGTCACTGTCAATTGAATTACCAAGCATGTGCATGTGTGATGCTGGAATCAAGTTCTGGGCCTTCTGGGTGCTAGGCAAGCACTGTACCACTGAGTCACATCCCCAGTACCTGCACTTCTAAAGACTTTATAGACAAAGAAGATGTAAGAAGCTGATAGCAGGGATGTAAAAACTGTACTCTGTTGTTATGGGACACTACCCATTTGGACTACTCTAAACTTACATTTGTAACAGTATTTAATTGCAATTTTATTTGTAATTTTTGGCATAAATAACTAATAAATTAATAACAATTAATTCATAAATAATAATTATGAGTAATATTATTTTATTGTTATATAGTGTTATGATTATTAATAATAATTAATAAATAATTAACAAATAATAAGCTTTGGCGTTCTGAGCTACTGGTGTCTTTTCCCATGTCTCTGTCCAGATCTTGAAGTATTTCCCTATAATTTTCTCCAACAGTGTTTTTAATGAATAAAAATGGGAATTTTTTATAACAAAACATTTCAGCTTCTAATAAATGAAAATGGGGATAGTTTTATAATATAAATTTTACACACACACAGTGTGTGTGTGTGTGTGTGTGTGTGTGTGTGTGTGTGTGTGTTTGTAGGGGAGAGATATAAGGTTCTCTGGTTAGTTACAGGCAGTTGTGAGCGGCATAACATGGGTGCTGAGAATTGAACTCAGGTCCTCTGCAAGAGCAATGTGTGCTCTTAGCCTTTGAGCCTTCTCTCCAGTCCCCTTTAACAATCTAAGAGTTTCAGGTCTCACATCAAGATCATCAACCCAGTTTTAATTGATTTTTGTACAGGACAAGACACACAAGACACATAGATCCACTTTAATTTCTACATGTGGATATCCAGTTTTCTAGTAGCATTTGTTGAATCTTTTTCAAAACAAGACACACACACACATGCACGCCCGCACACACAGATAGACACACAGACATGATAATTCAGACTTGTTGATGTATGTTTGTAATTCTAGCATTCAGGAAGCAGAGGTGGGAGAATTTCTATAGGTTTAAGGCCATGCCAGTATACATTAAGTTCCAGGCCAGTTGAGCAAGACTCTATCTCAAAACAACAGCAACAAGCAAGCAAACAAACAAACAAATAAAATCAAAACAAAGTAGTATGCTATGCAACAGGCTTCTATGTGGCACTGATAATCTGTGAATTCACCATTGTGCACACTGCTGAATGTCAGGTGCAGTCTGCTGTAAGCACTCCACTCTGATGACACGCAGCAGAGCACTGCTCTGCTCAATAAGATTTTATGTATGTATACAGAAGTTTGAATTCCCTGTAATTTTTATTATGAGTTTTCTGATTTTTCTCAAGTATTCAAATTAGTTTAAATAAGGAAACAAAATGAAGCTATCTTCAGCTCATGTGCTATAAAATCAAGTGCTGGGATAGATGTGGCCCAATGGTGATAATTACTACTCTTAAGTGTAGCCAAGGAGCAATGGCCTGGATTGCTGTGCTTTTTTTTTTTTTAGATTTATTTATTTATTATGTATTCAACATTCTGCCTCCATGTATGCCCGCACTCCAGAGGAGGGCGCCAGATCTCATTACAGATGGTTGTGAGCCACCATGTGGTTGCTAGGAATTGAACTCAGGACCTCTGGAAGAGCAGCCAGTGCTCTTTACCACTGAGCCATCTCTCCAGCCCCTGGATTGCTGTGCCTAACAGATTAATAGTGGACTAGTCCAAGCACAAAATCATACTGTATTCTAATGAGGGGAAGAAAACAGAAGTCTTTGGGGAATATTTTCATACTAAATTGCTAATGCTTATTGTGTTACATAAGTGAGAATATAGCTGAAAAGCCTAGTTATTATAATAAAAAACAATTGACATATAAAAACTATATTAATTAAACTGTTATCTTAAGTACATAAAGCCATAGTCCAATTAGTCACAAAAATTATTTTTAAACATTTAAATGATTTGTTGATGTAATGTGTTTAACAACAAAAATAGTTCATAAATTAATAGATTTTCTACTAGCTCTATGATGTTAGCAAGTTATTGACTACATGAAGAATTTGTGTGATAACTACATAATATGATGTAAGAAAATCTTCAGGATAGCTCCAGGCACACTTGAGAGGTCAAAACAGTTATGAGTATATATGCATGTGCGATTGTGTGTTTAGACAGGCAGGTATACACTTGTGTGTGGAGGCCTGTGGTTTCACTCTTCTGCAGGTACTATCCTGAGTACTATTTCTGAGACTGGAGCTTGCCAATTAGGTTATGTTTTCTGATGAGCAAGCCCCAGGGACCATCCTGCTGCTGAGATTCAAGTTTGCATGCCCCCATAACTGGTATTTTCACGTGGGTTCTTAAACTCAAGTACTCATGCTTGTGAGACAGGCATTTTACTGACTCAGTTATCTTTCCAGCCCTGAAACCATTGTTTAAAAATACTATTATATTTGAAGATAAAAAAATAATGGTATTTGTCATGACTATTCTATAAGACATATGTGGAGCAGTAAGATGTTCGGACTTTTAGGGGGAAATATGATATTTGTATGCACATTATTACTTATACTTTAGCAATTACTACTATATAATTAAAACAGAAAGTATTGGGTGGGATGGAGGATGGGTGGATATGGGAGCAGGGAAGTAAATATCTTAATTAAGGGAGCCATTTTAGGGTTTGCAAGAGACTCGACTGTAGAGGGGTTCCCAGGTCCAAGGAAAGGTCCCCAGATTGTTCCTTGGGCAGCAGTGGAAAGGGTGCCTGAACTGGCCTTATCCCATAGCCACACTGATGAATATCTTGCATATCACCATAGAACCTTCAGCTGGCGATGGATGGAGACAGAGACAGAGACCCACATTGGAGCACTGGACTTAGCTCCCAAGGTCCAAATGAGGAGCAGAAGGAGGGAGAACATGAGCAAGGAAGTCAGGACCACGAGGGGTGCATCCACCCACTGAGACGGTGGGACTGATCTAATAGGAGCTCACCAAGGCCAGCTGGACTGGGAGTGATGGAGCATGTGATCAAACTGGACACTCTAAATGTGACTGGAAATGAAGGCTAACTGAGAAGCCAAGGACAATAGCACTGGGTTTTGATTCTACTGCATGGACTGACTTTGTGGGTGCCTGGTTTGTTTGGATGCTCACCTTTATAGACCTGGATGGAGAGGGGAGGACCTTGGACTTCCCATGGGGCAGGGAACCCTGACTGCTCTTAGGACTAGAGAGGGAGGGAGAGATGGGGAGGAGGAGGGAAAAGGGAGGCGGGGAGGAGGTAGAAATTTTTAATAAATAAATAAACAGAAAGTATTCAAGTTTCCTTACCTGACATGTCTGCTGAATCACCTACAATAAAGAATCAGTTAAAAAAGTTATCCATGAATAATATAATAATAGTAAATTTGTAAAACACAATTATCATTTTGTTATTTAAATAACAAAATATCCTATACAAAATTGGGTTGTTACATCAAATTGAGTAGACTGAGAAAAGGTACTCGCTTTCGGTATCTACAAATGATCATTCATTCTTTCTTTGGACACATTTAATGATATACATAAAGTTCTAATCATAATAATTTGTAAAGTAATACTGATATGAACCTTTTTCAGTTTATAAAATGTATGCTTTGATGCATCTGTGCCTGAAGGAAAGAGTTATATCTGAGGAATGTGGTAACAAAGCTATTAAATAACCCAACAAGCAAAAGGGGTTCTTCATTATAACTAAAGACTTTCCATATGTGTTATACTGGACAAACAGCTGCCATCTTGGGGTATTTAGCTGTTCCCACTTGCAAAACACCACCACAGTTGTGTGTGACGATTGTTTGCATTCCCTCATAGAGGGACCATGAGGGAAGACCATGAGACTAGTCACTCCACACCACCCATCGTGTGCAACTGAGTACTGAATAGAACCAGGTGGGAAATCCAAGAAAGATACTCGGAAAAAGAAGACAGAGTCAGGGAGATGCCAGCAGTTGCCAGAGAAGCAAGATGTGAGGTAACAAACCACAAACCTCGTGTTAAAATATAAACTAGTAGAAATGGGGTAATTTAAGTTGTAAGAGTTAGTTAATAATAAACCTAAGCTAATGGACCAAACAGTTCATAACTAATATTAGCCTAAGCGTGGTTATTTGGAACTGGTGGGCAGGAGAGGAATCTCCAGTTACAACTGAGCCCTAACTGCATATGGAGTTAGCTCCTCATGGAGGAGCTACAATATCTAGGCTTGGGGAGACTAGGGACTGGGGCTCTATCTATGCAGCTATGGGAAAGCCATCATCCCTGCTGGATGAAGTCTCCTAAAGGGAATCCACACCTAAACTCTGTAAGTAATCCCAAGATTGTGGAGGCCTTTGATGGAGGAGGGTTATCTGTCTATTGTGTTATTTTCATTGGTCAATAAAGAGACTGCCTTGGCCCTTTGATAGGACAGAAAATTAGGTAGGCGGAGTAAACAGAATAGAATGCTGGGAGGAAGGGAAGTGAGGCAGACACCATGGAGCCAGCCACCAGGTCAGACATGCTGAATCTTTCCCGGTAAGCCACACCTCGTGGTGTGATACAGATTATTAGAAATGGGTTAATCAAGATGTGAGAGTTAGCCAGTAACTAATTCTCTAGAGATAATGGGCCAGGCAGTATTTAAATGAATACAACCTATGTGTTATTATTTCTGGGACTAAGCTAGCCATGCGGGAGCTGGGCAGGATGAAAAGCAGGCCTTCCCTGCAGCCCCTCACTACAGATGGCACCCACGTGGATAACTGCATCCACAGAAAGCCTGAGAAAGTTTGGGAAAGAATGGAGTAAAGCATGTTTTCTTGGTGGCAGCAATTTCTCGGGTCTGCTCTGCTTGCTAGAGGCAAGCAAGGCTTTCATTTAAGAGAGGCTTCCTGACTCAGCTTTAGCTGCAAAACTTTGTAGCTCATTAAGAGGTCCTGCCGCCAAACACTTAAATGGTATTGATGAAAAGCTGAACGCATGCTTTTCGGTTTTCAGTCGTAGCAGGAAAAACGCTGCACTGTTTTAAAATGCCGGTTTTCTGGGCTGTCCTGCCAGGACAAACTCTGACTCTTTCAGGCAGGCAGTCCGATTGAGTGTGGTCTGTGAGCAGAATGCTGCAGCTTGCTTGCTGGCAAGGACCTTGAAACGCCATAGAGTTGTGGCAGTGAACACAGCTCTGGCTGGTATCTCAGACGTGAGGCTGGAAAGCTAAAAAATGAGCTGGATCTAGCCGTCAAAGCCACGGCTCTCCATATTGATTAGTAAATTAAAGGCTTATGAAGTCAGAAAAGGAGAGATATACAGTAAAGAGAGATTCAAAGACGAAGAAAACCTCTAAATGGTTTATAGTGTGTTACAAATAAATGCAGGATAAAAGTTAAAGTTCTTAAAGTAAAAAGAGAGTAGTTATGTGTGGTGGTACACACCTTTAATCCCAATGCCCGGAAGGTAGAGGCATATTGACCTCTGTGACTTCAAGGGGTAGAGGTAGATTGACCTCTGTGACTTCAAGGTGTGGTAGCACACACCTTTAATCCCAATGCCTGGGAGGCAGAGACAGAAGGATCTCTGAGTTCAAGGTGTGGTAGCACACGCCTTTAATCCCAGCACTGGGGAGCAGAGACAGACAGATCTCTGTGAGTTCAAGGACAGCCTGGTCTACAGAGTTATTCCAGGACAAAGATATACAGAGAACCTGTGTCAAAAAGTAAAAGTAAAAATAAAAGAAATAGAGGTTAAAAATAAAGCTGCATAAAGATGAAAAATACACAGAGAATCTTGATACTGTATGTTATTATGCTCTCTTTGAATTGTTTGAATGCTGAGGAAGGAGCAACAGCTGCTAAAAGATATTTGTTTATAAATGCTGCTGAACTAATCCAAGATAGAGATGTTGAAAATACCTTGACTTCTGAATTTGGATCTAAGGATTTGATACTTTGGAAAGGAGGTTCTTCTTTTGTTTTCACAGAGGATGAGACCCTGTGGATTGCTTCTATCCCAATATGGTATGATAGACCACGCCCTCCTGAAAGGTTTCTGTGAACACCCTCAAAAAATTTCTTCACTCAACTGCCGACTGAGATGAACCTGGCAGACAGGTTATACCATGAAAGACCTGATTAACAGCGCCCCTATACAGCAGGAAGAAGTTTGGAGAGAAATAACTACGTCCATATTCCCAAATATTGTTCATAAATGTTCTTTTACATTTAAAGGGGGATATGATATAGATATGAATAATTTCATTGGTATGGATTTTAAGGTCAATTTTGTTATATGTATATATATTTCTGATCTTGATTGATGTATTGTGATTGTATAGTTCATTTAAAAATGCAATGTATAATTAAAAATATAGGTTGTTAATGGATAATCATTGATAATAGTCAAGCTTGTAGTAATGTTAGTTTGATTATCTAGATGTGCATAGATATATTTCAGATATGCATTCTTCATATCTTTCAAAGACTACAGAACATGGCATTTAATGTTTTAATAACTTAGGACTTTTCATGACAATGAGACATGTCTGCTCCTGGCAGCACCAATCTACTTCAAGAGGAAGATGGGCATCGAAGAGGCTCCTTATGGGGTTGGTTAGCCATTTGGGCAAGAAACTGCTCTTGCCTGGACTGTTGTATAAACTGGACACAGAGAACCCCCAGAGAGAGGACTGCTGAACTTGCCTAAAGGTGAGATGATCTTTCGAGGTTCTTGATTCATGAAAGAGTCTGCGAGACATTCTGCAGGACACAACAGATAGTGACTGAACTGCCTTTGAAATTTCCTGCTTCATGGAAATGTCTCTGGATATTATGGGCCTGAAGGCCGAAAATGGATGCCCCAACGATACAGAGGAACTTTGGGTGACTGTCCAGGCAGCGAGATGTCTCTGTCATTTCTAGAGTTTTGGAAGTTGCTTACTTCTTGTTTACTTAGGTAATATATCCTTCTGGAGTCTTTGGAGTTGAAGAATGGATAGTCATAGTTATAGTTTTCCATTATTATGATAAAGATATAGTTATAAATATTGTGACTGTAATTCTTGCTTGATAACTGTTTTGTTATGTGTAATTTTACTATGTTAAAATGAAAGCCTTTCTTTTTTGTTTAAACAGAAAAAGGAGAAATGATGGAGGAGGGTTATCTGTCTATTGTGTTATTTTCATTGGTCAATAAAGAGACTGCCTTGGCCCTTTGATAGGACAGAAAATTAGGTAGGCGGAGTAAACAGAATAGAATGCTGGGAAGAAGGGAAGTGAGGCAGACACCATGGAGCCAGCCACCAGGTCAGACATGCTGAATCTTTCCCGGTAAGCCACACCTCGTGGTGTGATACAGATTATTAGAAATGGGTTAATCAAGATGTGAGAGTTAGCCAGTAACTAATTCTCTAGAGATAATGGGCCAGGCAGTATTTAAATGAATACAACCTATGTGTTATTATTTCTGGGACTAAGCTAGCCATGCGGGAGCTGGGCAGGATGAAAAGCAGGCCTTCCCTGCAGCCCCTCACTACAGGCCTTAGAAGGAGGAAAAATGTTTATGACTCCTTCAGGAAAGAATTTTAGAAACAATATGCATAAAATAAAACTGTGAAAGCTTATGTTCATATTTATGGTGTAATGTCTATGAGCAAAGTTTTAAAGAGTAGCGATGTGTATCAAGAAAGAGAGTAGTGGAAAGTTATATACCCACTGAAGAGACATGACAGTTTCACACATCAATCAAGTCTTATACCCACCTATGTGAAATAATGACTTCAAGAATAAAATGATAACACAGGCATATAAGTATCTTTATAAGGAATATGAGGAAAGAGTGAATAAAGTATTTTGAGTTTGCCATTTTTAGTTCTGAACATAATCTAATAATCACCAACTGGTAAAAAAGACTTGATACTTGTTACACGAAGAAAAGCTGATAGAATGGGGGTGTTTGTCTTAGAGGTCATTTGTCATTGGATAGTCTGAGATAAGACAATGTATTATACATAAAAGCTGGAACATTATAGCCTAAATGATTATACTAATTTAGGTACATTCCTCTGATGACCTGGAAAGACTGGTATACATCTGGAAGTCACTGGAGTTTTGGGATATAGAACACTGCCTTCTCTCCTCAGCAGACAGGTACATCCCACATCACAAGGGACCGTGGAAGCACTTATATGAGGCTGCTATGGGATGAAATGTTTGTGTTACTGCAAAACTCCTATGATGTCATGCTAATTTCAACTACAGTGTTAAAGGGTAGGATCTTTGGGAGGAATTAGGTCAAGTGAGTGGAGTCCCACAATGAAGATCAACATAAGAAAAGATGATAGATTAATAAGGAAGATAATATAGATATAACAAGGCCATCTGTAACATAGGGAGATGGCCTTTATTACAACCCAATCATGCTGGTACCTTTAGTGTCCAATTTCCAAAATAGTGAGAAAAGTATTGCTTGCTTGCTTGCTTGCTTGCTTGCTTGCCTGCTTGCTTGCTTGTTTTAAAAGCACCTCATTCATGTATTTGTTCTAGTAGCCAAAACTGACTAAGATGTATCCCAGAATGGAATCCCCCAATCCAGTGAAAGCTAATCACCCCCTAAACTTCCTTTATGAATATACATACTGGGTGTACAATGTGCTACTGGATGAACGGACTCTGAAAAGAGGCTCAGGCAAGCCCAAACGTAGGTTCAGAACTATTGAGTAGGAGGCTGTCACTAATTTCCAAATGCTAGGATTACAGGTTTATCACCAGACCTGGTCCATAATCTATCCATATAACAAGCTGGTGTCCCACACATAATTGTAACCCGAGTTCTAAGTAGGGCGGAGACAAGAGGATTACTGGAGCTTGCTGACTTCCAGCCTAGCCAAGAAAATACAAGCCCCAGGTTCTGAGAGATACCCTGCCTTAAAGAAATAGATGCAGAGGGTAACAGAGAAGAACAATTGATGCATGCACTCTCTGTACAGACACACACACAAACAAACAATAAAACTGTATAATGATAAATATGCATGACAACACTAAAACAAAATCTAAAACATACATCACTTTGTATATTTACTTTATGTTTTGTATGTTTACTTTAAAAATTCTTTTTTGTTGTTGTTTGTTTGTTTGGCTGGTTTAGTTTGGTTTGGTTTAGTTTTTCAAGGAGATGGTTTTTTTTGTGTAGCCTTGGCTGTCCTGGAACTCACTCTGTAGACCAGAGTGGCCTTGAACTCACAGAGATCTGCCTGCCTCTGTCTCCTGAGTGCTGGGATTAAAGGTGTGCACCATCACTATCCAGCTTAAATATTGATTTTTTTAAAAGAAAATACTACAGAAGGGAAAATGTAAGTGCTCCATGTAACACAGCTATAAGACCAAACAATCTAGAGGAGAACAAATTCCTGATTAACAGTTATTTGCAGAAATAATTAAGATATTGGGATACCAAGAAAGCCAGTAAAATGAGTATAGCAACTGGGGTCACTGAGACCCCCAAAACATGGTAATTTCAATAATGATTACAAGTGTACTTGACCAGTCACATCTGTAATACAGTATCATGGTAATTTTTAGCTGTCAATTTAAACAGACCTGCCATCCTACTCATAGAGCCATGAACTTTTTTTTTTTTTTGTCAGAAGTTAAAATAAACCACAGGTACATTTCAAACTGCTGGTGAATCTGATCAATGCTAATGCCAAAGAAACATTTTTGAATGCGAAAGGATTTTCTAACATGAAACAGATCTGCAGTCTTTCTTACTCAAACTAACCTTTGCTAAACAAGGGTTTATCCCCATTGGTCTAGTTAATTTCTTGGCTCTCCTTTACATCCTTCCTCCAAGGTTTGAATTTGACCACTTGGCAGACCAGGAATTCCCACTAAAGCTAAAGGTCAACCATTTACACAATAGTTTGAGCAAATTCAGATAAATAATAGAAAGCTACCTGACAGCAAACATAAGGTAATCAGGCTAGGTTTCATATGCACACATGCATTCTGAGCAGTTCACAATTCAATACACTCGATTTTTTTCCCAAGGGTATTGAAATCATTAGAACAAAGTAAATGTTTCAGACTATTTCTTTTGAAATATAGAAACATACCTACTTGGCCAGTTGCCACTATGTTGATAAATTTGGGGTGCTGATTTACAGTGAGGCACAGAATGTCATCATTATGTTCCTGATAAAAACTCTGAGTCCCTATAAAGAAAGAATTTGAAAGTTAACTTTAAAAACTTTAAGATGCAAGAGCCAAATGCACTTATTTAGTACAATAAATTAATTTGTTCATTCAAAATTTATTTTGAACATATACCATGTAAGTGATTACTAGCAAAAGGATGACAGTGAATTGGTAATCTAAAGGGATAGAGTCCTGAAAAGGATAAACCACATAGAGCTGAAGATACCAAATGCCAAATGTTTGTTTATCTAACAAAAGGCTGGGGATGTAGCTAATTGTGCATACACATGGTTCATCAGAATGACGTGGGTGGTAATGAAAGTCAGCAATATAGATGGAAAAGTAAACAGGTACTAGGATTATGGAAGACTGATTACTTTCCTATCATCTTCCCTCTTTGATTTTGTAAAGAAAAAAATTTAGTAGAGTCACAGGAAAAGCAAAGTAATTTCTCACTTATTAATCTGGATGCTGTTTATTCATATTTCATATTCAGATTGTAAGTAGTGGCTTTTGATCAGAAAGCTAATATGGTTCCTCTCACAGGACTGCCAGTGAATGGACCTTTTAGAGTCTCCAACAATAGTCCGTGAAGAAGATAACAAGACTAAATAAAATAGGAAATGAAGTCAGGACAGTAGGTTGGATGTAGATTATAGAGGATCATGCACAGCAGGTTTTCCACAACCTCAACAATTACACTAACACAGCTATATTACTTATAATTCCTCAAAGCCCCTGGGTGGGGCAATACACACCTGCAATTCCAGAGAGGCAGATGGATCATTATGAATCTGAATTTGAGGCAAGCCTGGGCTACATACACAGTGAGTTCCACACTAGACTGAGCAACAGAAGAACTTGTCTCCATAAATAAATAAGACAGATAGATGGATAGGTAGATAGATAGATAGATAGATAGATAGATAGATAGATAGATAGATAGATAGATAGATAGAATAAGCAAACAAAACTTCTCAAGTTGAAAAATGTGTTTTGTGTTTTCCAGAGCAGAAGGTGTAGTGAAAGGAGCGAACAAGTAATTATAGGCTGCTGGTTAAATTGGTGGAATATGAACTTGTAGACACTTCTCTGAACATTACAATGTAACTCTAACTGATAAGAAACAGTCAAAACCAATGCAGGGCATAGATAGGCAGATCTCTATTAGTTACAGCATGAGGCCAGCCTGGTCTACATAACAAGTTCCAGACCAGTCAAAGCTACACAGTGAGACCCTGTCTTGAAAAACAAAACAAAAACAAAAACAAAACCCCCCAAATTTAAATAAATAAAAATACTATTTGTAGCTTTAACAAATAATTTTAAGCTGCTAAATAAGTTCTAAATTAAAGACTATGTGTACAGGGAATTAAGACGTCCTACCTGTAGCAACATTGTGCAGAATTCCAACAGAGGCAGTGTGATAAATTATATCATCACCATCATTTAAGTAATGCACATTGTTCCTGCAGTCTCTGCCTCGATAGCCAAAGGCAAGCTCCAGCACAAGGTCCTATAACAATGACAAAACCATTGCACATGGTATCTTTTCTCAGGGTAAATGTTCACTAGAGCTCTGTGATACAGACCATACTAGCATTTTCTGTCAAAAGGAGAATGCTCTTTAGATATTTTATAAACTGCTAACACAAAATTAAACTTGACATTTAAATTTTAAATTAAATTTGCCTTTCATAATTTTACATATACATCACATAAAATAAATACACATACACACATGCATAATATACTTTGATTATTTTCCCCTACTATTCTCTTATACCTCTCCCACTGAACCCCTTCTTCTCCAAAAGTCCCCTCTTATTTTCCCATCTCTCGGTGTCCCATTACCTTTGACTGCTGTTTGTGTGTGTGTGTATGTGGCAGTTATTCACTTAAGAAAGGACAATTTACCAGGCGTTGTACCCCTGAAGAACACGATTTCTTTCCCCCAGTAACCACTGACTACAGCTCCTCAGGGGCCTCTGAGTCTATTCCCTATTGATGGTAGAGTATTGATGGGCCCAGTCTTTTGCAGCTGTGACTTCATGGGTGCAACAGTCATTAGACACACACACACACACACACACACACACACACACACACACACACAAAACTTTAAAAAAGGGGATGGGAACAATAAGGTCATCTCATTCCAAGAGAATAGATTTAATATTTTATGTGTTGAACATTGATACATTTCTTTTTTTAATTTATTAGATTTAAAAAAATACCAATCCAAGTTTGCACTCCCTCCCCTCCTCCCATTCCTTCCACATTCTCACCCCAACCCCATCTTATCCTCAGAGAGGATAAGGCATATTGCTTTGTGGAAGGTCCAAGGCCCTCCCTCCATACTATATCTAGGCTGAGTAAGGTATTCATCCAAAGAGAACAGGATCCCAAAAAGTCAGTACATGCAGTAGGGATGCGAGTAGCCCCGCAGTCTACCCCAGTCATGCAACTGTCAACCACATTCAGAGGGACTAGTTTGGTCCTATGCTTGTTCCTTCCCTGTCCAGCTGGAGTAGGTGAGCTCCTATTAACTCAGGTAAACTGTTTCAGTGGGTGAACCCATCATGGTCTTGACCTTTTTGTTCATATTCTCATTCCTTCCACTCTTTAACTGGACTTTGGAAGCTCAGTCCAGTGCTCTGATGTGGATCTCTGCTTCTGTTGCTGAATGAAGGTTCTATGGTGATATTTAAGATAATCATCAATCTGACCACAGAGCAAGTCAAGATTGGGCCCCCTCTCCTTTATTGCTTAGGGTCTTAGGTGGGGTTATCCTTAAGATTCCTGGAAATTTCTCTAGAGCCAGGTTTCTGCTAACCCTATAATGGCTCCCTCAATCAAGATATCTCTTTCCTTGCTCTCATCTTAGTCCTTCCTCCATCTCAACTATCCCATTCCCTCAAGTTCTCCTCAAACCTCCCCTTCTTCTTTCCTCTTCTCCTTATACCCTTCCTTCTACCCCTACCCTCATGATCCAGTTTTGTCAGGAAATCTTGTTGGTTTCCAATTTCTAGGTGTATCTATACATGTTTTTCTTTGGGTTCACCTTTCTTTTCTAGGATCATCAACCATAGGCTCAATGTCCTTTGTTTATAGCTAGTATCCACTTATGAGTGAGTACATACCATATTCATCTTTTTGGGTCTGGGTTACCTCATTCAGGATAGTGTTTTCTAATTCCACCCATTTGCATCCAAAATTCAAGATGTCATTTTTGGTTTTTGTTTTTTTGTTGTTGTTGTTGTTGTGGTTGTTGCTTTTGCCGCTGAGTAGTACTGTAATGTGTAAATGTGCCACATTTTCTTTATCCTTGTTTACAGGTTCTGGCTATTACAAATAATGCTGCTATGAACATAGATGAACAAAGGCTTTTGTAGTAATGATTGAGCATCATATTACATATGATTGGGTATATGCCCAAGAATGGTATTGCTGGATACTAAGTTAGGTTGAGTCCCAATTTTCTGAGAATCTGCCATACTGATTTCCAAAGTGGTTATACAAGTTTGCATTCCCACTAGCAATAGATGAATGTTCCCCTTACTCCACATCCTCTCCAACATAAGCTATCATTAGTGTTTTTGATCTTTAGCCATTCTGACAGGTGTAGGATGGTAATCTTAGAGTTGTTTTGATTTACATTTCCCTGATAGCTAAGGATGTTGAATATTTCCTTAAGTAACTTTTGGTCATTTGAGATTCTTCTGTTGAGAATTCTGTATAGTTCCATACTTCATTTTTTATTTGGGTTATTTAGAATTTTAATGTTTAATTTCTTGAGTTCTTTATATATTTTGGAGCTCAGTCCTTTGTCTGATGTGGTGTTGGTGAAGATATTTTCCCATTCAGTAGGCTGCCTTTTGTCTTATTGACTGTGTCCTTTGCTTTACAGAAGTTTCTCAGTTTCAGAAGGTTCTATTTATTTATTGTTGCTCTCAGTGTCTGTGTTACTGGGGTTATATTTAGGAAGTGGTCTTCTGTGCCCATGCATTGAAAACTACATCCCACTTTCTCTTCTATCAGGTTCAGTGTAGTCAAATTTATATTGAGGTCTTTAATCCACTTGGACTTGAGTTTTGTGCATGGAGATAGATATGAATCTATTTTTATTCTCCTACATATTGACATCCAGTTATGCCAGCACCATTTGTTGAAGATGTTTTCTTTTTTCCATTGTACAATTTTAGCTTCTTTGTCAAAAATCAAGTGTTCATAGGTGTGTGGATTAATATCCAGGTCTTCAATTTGATTCCATTGGTCAACCTCTCTGTATTTATGTCAATATCAAGCTGTTTTCATTACTGTAGCTCTGTAATAGAGCTTGATGTCAAGGATGGTGATGCCTCCAGAAGTTCCTTTATTGTACAGGATTGTTTTGACTATCCTACGTTTTTTGTTTTTCCATATGAAGTTGATTATTGTTCTTTCAAGGTCTGTGAAGAATTGTGTTGGGATTCTGATGGGGTTTGCTTTGAATCTATAGATTGCTTTTGGTGGGATTGCCATTTTTACTATGTTGATGCTACCTATCTAAAAGCATGGGAGATCTTTCCATGGCTTAGCCGTTAAAGGCTAGGCTCACAACCAAAAACATTGATACATTTCTTACAATTAAAAGAATGTGACAGTTACTTGTTCTATGCCCAAATTAGACACCCAGGAGAACCCAAAGATGTTCTGACAAATCATAAGTAAAGGTCTGGCAGAGGCTCCTACAACAAGGAGCATTCCTTTTCAATGCCTTATGGGTGATGGGAGGGAATACAATCATCTGTATTCCTGCAGCTGTGTACTTTCCCCCTGCTGGATCTAGCACAATGTGCTTGTTTGCTGCTGACAGTGGCCTTATGAATTGCCTATGAGGAAGTTTCTTGACGGAAGAGAGGAGGAGAAACACTCTCCATGTGCCCTTATATATTAAATATATCACATGGGGTAAAAAGTTCTGGAAATAGTGTATTTTCTTGTTAATTTATAAAGTCAATTTACAAACTATAAGACACCACCAAGGTGTCTGTGCTTCCCTATTCACTCATGAAATCATTCATATAAATTTACATTTAGACGTTCTCCAAAATGCAGACCAACTCAGGATATTATTTATTTAAGAGTAAAAGACTCATTTGAAATTAAGAGAAGCAGAGAGTATCAATCCAAATTTCAGACCTGAATAATAATTAAGCAAACAACTTTTACAACCAACCAAGCAAAGATAATTCAATATACCAAGTTTCATGAAAGTTAAAGGTAAAACTTGAAGGTTCTATAAAAAGGAAGCTTTAGAATATTGGGAAATTTGTTTCCCTTACCTCTATGGGTCTCTTCTTCTTGCCAACATTGTTTGACTGAAGTTTCTCTGGCTGTGGTGGGGCCCTACTCACTGGGGGCCTGGAATAGAGGGGTGGGAAGGAAGAAAGACAGAATTACCTGGGGATTCCACTGGGTCTCCCAACCTGCCCTCCAGAAATGTCACCCTCCCCAAAGGGAGCCTACTCTAATTTTACTAGACTGTGTTCTCTGTAGCTTGATAATTTCTAATGCAGAAAGAAATAGTATTTTTATTCATTTTTACTTTTTATATCTTTGGTCTGCATCTCATAATGAAAATAATGTAGCATAAGAACAGTATAAGAATGTTAGTTTGACACACTCATTTCTGGATGGATTATTGTTCCAAAGCATCTCTTATGGCTCACATAGCAGATATATAAACATTCTGACAGTGAATTTGGATAACATGAACTTTCTGTACTGCTGATAACATAACTCACACGAGTTCACATCTATAATGGCCTGTCCTCCATGCTCCTCCATGCCCTTTACTGTCCCACTCTCTGAGGTCTCTCATGGTGGCTAATGGCATCAACACCAGAAAGTTATTCAAGGAAGTCATTTTATAGTCACAAAGCAAGGTAAAAAAAAAAAAAAGGCCATTACCACAACTACTGTCTCCAAATCTCCTTCTCGAGTCTATTTATGGAATATTAATCACCTTTCCCTACATAATAGTTTTTGAATCAAGCCCTCTCTTATCTGCTCAGAATCTAGTAAAATGTTTCCTATTCCAACAGGGGTATAGATTCATATTCTGAATTATATAATTGTGGAAGAACTTTTGTAAAACCTTTTACTTAATTTTTAAAAATCACTTACTAGTTCATCTCAACCATTCAATTCATCTCAAAATTCAAATATTTTATAATCTGAACACTGAACTTGAATCATGTATTAACTCCTCTCTAAATTTTAAACTCAATTTATAACTAAATTAAAAATGATACTCATTAATTTTGTAAAAACTTCCAACATTTAATAATTTACTAAAGCCATATAACTAGACTTCAAAAGTATTGTCAAGTTACACATTTGCAAAGCTAAAAGAAATGTTGCATCTTTTAAAATATGTGTGTGTGCGCGCACACACACACGTGTGCGCACAAGCCCACGCATGTCTGAGTGCATGTGCATCATGTACATGCAGGAACCCACAGAGGTCAGAAGAGGTGTCAGATGCCCTGAAACTGGAATTAAGGATGGTAGTGAGCCACCCTGTTTGGTAGGAACTGGACCTAGTCCTCTACAAGTACATCCAGTGCTCTTAACTATTGAGCCATCACTCCGGCTCTGGTGCATACTGAACATATAACATAAAATACATGCAGAGTGTTGGGAATCTAGCCTGGTGGCAGCATGGTGGCCGAGCATAAGCCAAGCCTGAATTTGATACTATGTACTGTAAAACAGTGTTAAATAAATGTACATATTCACATACAACATGAAATTGTATGTACTGAGCATGACTGACTGGTATCATAAAAAAATATCTTCATCAAGTATGTGTAACTTTCCAAGTTATCACAGAAATTTAAAGTTCAAATCTTCACATTTTTGAATGTTCATAAGTAAAAATAGAAGTTAATTAATAATATTTAACATTTAAGAAAATTCCTACCAGAACTAGCTCAAAAAATGCCAGAAAGTCCAGCTTTTCTTCCAAGTCAACTTTTTGTGAACTTTTATTCAATGTGTAAGAATCTGATAGCTTTAATTCTAACCCTGTTAGCAAGTTTTATCTAAAAAAACCTTACATAACAATTAAGCATATTTAAATTTTATAAATATTATTTACATAATCCATATTACTGCTTAAAATGAAACTATCTGGCTTATAAAATTATACAATTTGGATGCATAAAATGTTAGTAATACAGTGACTTATGGAAGCCAGATAATTAAGATGTTCCTTCATGGAGAGGGAAGTGGGAACAGAGGTGGAGAACAAAGTAACACTGCTCATTAATTAAAACAGGAGAGATGACAAAAACACAAAATTTGGTCTTGTAAACATAGCAAGGACAGGGTTACCTGGATCCTCTTTTCAGCAGCAGAGAAGAAAAGAAAAAGGATTTTAACACATACCTGAATTTTAAACATTATCGCAGAATCTCACATAATAAAATATTGTTAGGCTTAGCACAGATAAACTGTATTGCACACATTAAAGGCTTGTTTTTATTACTGTACTTAAGCTTAAATTAGTTCATTAATGGCATATAAACCAGAAAATTAAAAAAGAAGAAAGACATAAGAATTCAAAATGTTTTGCGACACTCTTTAGAGGGTCATTCATCTTATCTTTTTTCTTAAGAAAGGAAAAGAGGACCTTAGCCAAGTATTAATGGGGCTGCTTTTAAAGAAACTGTCTCATGAGATCATCTTGCAAATCTAAGAAGGTTCTTCAGGTACCAACTCAAGCAGGCAGATTCAGTCATTCAAGGTCTTACTGAGTTTGGAACTTGGCAGCAAAGCAAGTATCATTTAAAAGAAGAATACCAACTGAGCACGTTGGTACTTGTCTATAATGCCACTACACTCTGAGAAGCCAAGGCAGGAGGGTTGCCGTGAGTTCAAGGCTAGCCTGAGCAAGACTATTAGTGCCAGGGCAGTCAGGGCTACACAGCAAGACTGTCTCAAAACAAAACTACCTTTCTCTCCCCTTCCCCAAAAGAAAAATTTCCTTAATAGCAGAATGAAGCTTGGCAGGTGGTAGGTGACGGAGATCCCTGATGCAGGAGAATTGTCTGTATTCTGTCAATCATATTTTAATAAAACGCTGATTGGCCAGGCAGGCAGTATAGGCGGGAAAACCAGACAGGAAGTAGAGGTGATGCAATGAGAACAGGAGACTTCTGGGAAGCAGGGAGGTTCCTCTGCCATTCCTGTGCAGACCACCGAAGAGGCAACATGTAAGCTGTCACACTGAGAAAGGTACTGAGCCCATGTGGCTAACACAGATAATGATAATGGATTAATGTAAGTTACAAGGACTAATAAGGAGCCTGACCTAATGGGCCAATCAGTTTATAACCTTATGGAGTCCTGTGTGTGATTTTCTTTGGGGTTTGCCGGCTGTGGGGTACAGGGTGGGACGGAAACCCCAACAAGCCGGCCCCCTCATGTTACAGATCCCAGCATTCTGGAAGCTAAGGAGAAGGAATCTCAAATGCCAGCCAGCCATGTCTACACTTTTAAGATTCTGCTCAAAACACAAAAATAAAATAAAACAAAAATACAAGGTTTGAGGATGCAACTGTGTTGGAACATTTGCCTACCGCCTGAGGCCTGGATTCAAACCCAGGAGTGGAAGGAGAATGATGATAGCATCATCACTAACAGAACTGAAAGGATCACAGGAGGCTTCCACAGCTTTCCTGTCAGATGCTCGGCCAAGCACACTTGCCATGGCGAGATTACTTCACATAAAAAGTTGTCCATATTCAAGACAGCAATTACAACTCCACTTAGCTTCATGTTTCAGACAAGTGATTCCTAAAGAACTGAGTGCTCTTAGCAACAGCCTTCCAACTTTTCCTCACTCTGGTTTCTTCTACAGTATTCAGAATGGCTAGGATTTCCTTTATTGTGGAATTTAGTACTAAACACTACTTTCCATACCGAACTAGGTCTGGATACTTCATTTCTGTTCATGTAAGATTATGTGGGCCTGTTCAGAAGTCAAGTCATACTCTAAAGTCATCTTTGCATATTACTCTGTTGAAAACACAATGAGTTTCCAAGATAATTAATTTCATTTGCCAAATTATTTAAGGAAACAGAATGGGTTTCTGAACAATCTGGTCTCAAATGAACTTTTCATCCTCAACTCCTATCATTTTTTAGAAAGTAGTATCTTCTTACTTCTAAAATTGACTTATTCCCATGATGTCTCCTTTAGAATTGCTCTGAGGACATTTCCATCTTACTGAAGGTAGTTGCAAGTCAGTGCTCCTACAGCCTTTTTTATTCATGTAATTTTGTTAAACACAAAATACTATAATTATCCTATTTTTAAATGGATGAGTATATTACGCATCATTAAGTGGAACAATGTTTATGAAGTGAATAATCTTCCATTGATAAATACATATGATTATGTGAGTTCTCATGGGCATCTAAAGGAAGTACTAAAATTCATGGATTCATGAAAAGTCATTTGTAAAATTATAATGAAGGCCTACTTACAAAATAACAATCACATTTCATTTTCTAATCTTTTTATCAGGTGTAAGTAAATATTTTATAGTAAAAATTAATACCTTGACATACTCTAGGGATCAAAATAGAACAATAAACATTTTAATAGAATATATTCTTTTAAAAAAGCACTTACCTTACTACCCCCTGTCTTTGAAAGGCAAAGGAGAAGAAAGTGGGAAAACACATAAAAAATTGATGGTAAATATACATAACAATAAGCAAAATAAAAGCTACATCAAAAGAACTTTAAGAAAACACAAAATTTCTAATTTTATAACAGGTTTTGTATATCTTAATTAAAATACTAGAAATTGACTAAAATTAACTACCTTAGGTACAAAATATTTGCATAAAATATTTATTGAAAAATAAAGTCATATCACTATCAAAATCATTCAGAAAAAAATCCACAAAAAGTATTAACTATAGTAGTAATCAACTATCATCAGAAATAATTCCTTTGAAGTAGATGATTTGATGCTTAGCTGATTATGAAGTAACTGATTAATATTTAATGGCTAACATTAAAATATAAAACAACTATTTAAATTGCTAAAGTATACTTTGAATAATATATTCAAAACTGGCAGGATAAGTATCTCTTTTGATCTCCTTTTAATTTATTATTTTTTTGTGAAACTGAGGACTCTTATGAGCCACATTAGTGACATCTGTCTCAGCATTTTCAAAAGAATTTAGCAGAACTGATACTATGGAAATTGAGAATGAAATGCAAAAAAAAAAATTTCAAGAATAAATTTGAGAAGTTTGCTACAAAAAATCCAAACTAGAGCTGGGCATGTTGGCTTCCACCTATAATCCCAGCAACTGAGATGTGGAGGCAGAAAAAGTATGCATAGGAAGCAAGTCTGGGGTGCTGTTCACAGTGAGATCCAGGCCTGACTGGACTACAAAGTCAACAAACAAACAAAAAACCTAACAGAAATGGTTACAGCAATGAAAACATTAAACAGTTTCAAAATCTGCCCTCACATGAAAGGCTTCACCAATGAAGAGAAATCAGCTTTACTGTGATCAAGTGTGGCTTCCAGAGTAAAGTTAGGTTATACAACAAACTGATCTGAATGATAACATTTCTTATTGAAAAAAATCAATAACTTATGAAAGAGATTATAGTACTTTTTATTTTTTTATTACGTGGAAGATAGAATTTCCTTAAATAATACTAATTCTTCAAATATTCAATTTACAGAATCCTTATTTGTTTATTTATATGTGTTCCTGTAATTAATAAATATTAAGGTAGTACTCTTTGTGAATGTTTAATCTCAGGATTAATATTTTAGGCTACTCTTTCTTTTTGTCAATGAAACAGGCTCTCACTTTGTAGACCTGGCTGACCTAGAAATTGCTTTGTAGAACAGGCTGTCCTCATGTTCACAGAGTTCTGCTTCTGCCTCCCAAGTGCTAATGTCACTATGTATTATATTTCATTAAATGAGAGTGTGTCATTAGTAAAGATATATTTCTTAATTATTAATATTTAACTCTTGAGTATTTTATTTAGAACTTCAAATAATCCATAGATAAGGATTATAGCTCTCATTCTGCTAAAAGTAAAGACATAGCTTGAGAACAGATTAATACTTTTCAAGGTCAAACAACTGCTAAATGACACAAATGGCTGTCTTAGCCTTTTGTCTGATCCACATGTATGAACTTAGCACTAGACACTATCTTCTAGCAAGCTGCCTTATTCTGGAGTTTTAATATAAGTATTCAGATCACGGTATGAATTGACTTTTCTAACATTTTTATACTTTGCTTCTTCACACAGAGAAAATGCACACCACCCTCTGACTCTTCTTTAGATGACCACCCACTGTGGTTACCTGAACACTTAAGGACACACTGAGCACCTGAAGCAGAGCGGAGCTGCATTCCCTGGGAACACTGCCAGCAGTGAGTCCTAGAGCGCCTAGTCGTCTGTCTCCTTCCCCACTATTAGGTACAGCTCACCCCTAACTTCATCTCTATCCCTGAACATTAAACCCACCTTTCATGTTATTTGCTTTTCCATCAAACATGAACTTCTTATAGTAAAGTTTCCTTCATCGCAGCCTTTTCTGGAAGTCACTGCTATCCCATCCACCATTACCTGTTTCTCACCTTCTCTGAACAATGTCTTTTATTATTTCTTAAAACCGTTTCACTTGTGAAGTCTGTACCATTGACTCAGTTTGCTCTTTTTGTTGTTCTCAGAATAGATCCCAGGCCTCACACATGCTGGCAAGTACTCTATCACCGAGCTACACATTCAAATCCCTAATGCCTCTTCACTGTTCATCCTTGACTAGGAATACATTAGGTCAAATTCTCTTCTCAGCAAAGACTACTAAAAAGTTCTCTGCTGGGCTGGGAAGAAGCTCAGTCAGCAATGTACTTGCCTTACAAGCATGAGGACCTAAATTCAATCTTCAGAACCCATGTTAAAAAACAAAACAAACAAACCAAACAGGTGTTAACCCTGAGACTTCCTGATCAGCCAGACTTTGATATTTGGGGAATTCTAGCCCAGTGAGAGATTTTGTCTCTAATTAATTAATGGGTGGCTCCTGAGAAACAAAAGCTAACAGCCAAGGTCTTTCTTTGACCTTCACGAGCACTTGTGTTCATATGCAAGCACACAAACATGTCTCGTATGTGTATACAAAAAACAACACAGGAGTTTTCTTTTCATAAAATTGCTCTGCATGTGTTGATCCTATACGAAGACCCGTAATTTCCAGTAAGAAATTCCACTTCAACTCATGTTCTGGGTACAGTTTTTGAAATAATGGCAGCTGATACTTCATTGAGGGCTTTTAGAGACTGGGTCACACCTAATCTATCACACACAATTATGAAAGTCAGCAAATAAGATTACTCCAATCACAGTAACTGTATATATGGATATAACATTGCCTGAACTCCTTGTAAATACAGTGTAAACACCAAGAGCACTTAAGGACAGTTTCTAACAGTGGTTCACAACTGTATAATTCAATATATTATTAGCAGTGTCTACATAAAATTTACATATAATTCAATTTTTAGATATAGTTCAATTTTTTATATCATTATCATTTTTCACCTAACTTTAAGTTTTATTATTACCTCTCATCAACTGATGGCTCTTTTTGTTGCAAATGAGGCTTGACTCCAAGCATTGGGCGGATATTGGTTGATAAGGCTCTGATGGTGTAACTGATTTCATTCTCTCTTGTCACATCACTATCATAGCCTACCATCAAATACAATGGTTATCAAACGATAGCAAGGTGATCACTTACATTCTTATAAATTCTATTTCTTCCAACAGTGTAAAATAAATTGTTAAAGCCACATTACTAAATACAGAACTAGAAAGATTTATGTGAAGAATATTTAGTAATATGTAATAATGTCTACTAATTATCACTAATTATGCACTACAAGCTACAAATATGAACTCAATCATCTCATTTTTATTAAAAATATTTTGAACATAAGGGCATAATTATAATAGTATATACTTTCAACTGTTAAGTGTGAGTGGTTAAATTATTCATCTTATGTTTTTATAATTACTGATATTACTGACATATTAAGAAAATAAAAATTATCTTAAAATATAAAGCTCAATAACATAAAAGCTTTTAACAGCACTTAAAATATGATTGGCTGGCTTAGATGGTGAATATCTAAGCCATCAATACATGCCAGTCATGAATCACAAAAACAATTTTATTGTAAAACTGACCCAAACACTAATAATACAATTGTTGAAACACATTACTATTTATTTTTAACTTCTGTAGTTTAAATCAGTAGAGCTATTTTTTCTGTTTTTACTAAGATATTTTAAAATGACATACCTCCATCTTCTTCAGAATCTATATCAGATTCTTCACTATCACAAGACTTTTTTTCTCGATAGCTCTCCATTTCGTTTGTCCACACCATTAAAGACATATCTGCACCTCCTAGGGTAACCAGCATGCTGTCATCATAAGTCCAGCGAACATTTGTGACATGTGTGCTGTGAGCCACATACTTCTTAAACTTTCCAAATTTTCCCTGAAAATAAAACAAATTCAGACATGCTTTCTGAATTCTAGCACTGAAACCTTTGTTTTTAAAGTTTGATATATATATACATATATACAAAATATGTATACACACAATATATTTCACTTCAATTCACTGTGCTCTCTTTGGTAAGTACTGCCTACACATAGTTTCTTTCTTTCTTTTGTCCTTTGGTGTTCCACACCTGCTAAGCAGGCAATAGGTACTCTACTATAGAACTACATCCTCCAGAATTACAGTTCCCTTTTAAATACCAAGTGAACTGTAAGTTATAGACCCAGGAAAGATTAGTAATGCAAGTAAATTTGAGATCAATAAACTATAAGCAGGTTTTAAGTGAACATCTTTTCAAAGTTGCTAAGGTTTCTTAAATAAATAAAGCATAGGGGCCAGGAAGAGAGTTCAGCAGGTAAAGGAAAGGTACTTGCTGCCACGTCTAATGATATGAATGTGATCTCTAGACGCCATGCTGGAGAAGGAGAGAACCAACTTCAGCAAGTATCCTCTGACCTCTACGTGAAGTCATACATATGCTCACATACATACACATATATGTGTACATATGCCCACCAACCCCCACATCCAAATAAATAAGAAAAAATGTAAAAGCCTTTTTTAAAGTAAGCAAAACATAGTGAGTAGCAAAATTAGTGAGTTCTCTGTGGGGAAAAGAGAGGGCTGGTAAGATGACTGAGCAGACAAACGGACTTGCCGCAAAACCCGGTGACCAGAGTTTAATTTTCAAAACACTTGGTGGAAGGAGAGAACTGACCCTCCAGGTTGTCCTCTGGCCTCCATCTGTATACAGGCCATGAGGCACATGTGCTGTTGCCCACAGATAAATGTAATAGATACTCCCTTTTTTTTTCTGAGTAAGTGGGATATTTATTTAGTGGGTTTTGGGGGAAGGCGGGAAGGGAAGAAGGGAGAAGAGCTGAGAGAGGCAGAGAGAGAGAAAGACAGACAGAGACAGTGAGAGGGAGGGAGAGAAACAGAGAGAGGGGGGAAGGGGAAAAGTGGGGGGAAGGGAGCGAGGCAGAAGCTGCCTTTTCAGGGGAGAGATGGAAAAAGCCGACCCTTTTATTTTTAAGTTGAGGAGGAGTCTGTCTTCAAAGCACAGAGTTTCTCTAAGATTGTGTGGTTCTTGCTATAGTGAGCTCTCCCCTTTCTCTCTTCCCTTCTCCCATTGAGTTTAAACTTCCTGTTTGGGATGTTTATTTGAGTGCCCAAGCTCCCAATAAGAAGTTTTAAACCTATATTTTCATTTCAGTATCTAAAAATGCTTATATGGGCAGCTGAGGTTAGCATGAACGAAATATCATGATTTATTTTTAGCATCCTACTTCAAATTTTGTTCATATTCCTATTGATGCTAAATTATAATCTATAGCGTAATTTATGACAACTGGGAAGTAAATGCCCTTGCACTCTATATACAAGTTTTATTTTTGTAGTAAGTAGAGCCTTAAGTTTTACAGTAGTGTGAATAGAGGTTAGTAAAAAGATGAGTTGAACAATCAAACAACACAGCCTAGGTAATGTAGCACTGTAAAGAATCTGTACTATCTGGTTTCAGAAAAAAATCATGACATTAATCAGTGTTATTTAATTTTATTCAAATATTTAATATTTAATTGCCCTCTTTTCTAATGTAAAACTACATTTACAAAGTTTATATTGACTCCTAATGCTATATATTTAAGTTATATTTATAATTAATTATAAAATTTATTTAATAGTGATAAAAAGAACATTGAGGGAAATGTATATAGTTAATAATGAAAACCACTATACAATATAACATACTAAACAAGGCACCGAACAGTATGTAACATACAAACCAAGGCACAGTTTAGTAAACTATAATATTTATTTTAGATAAAGGCTAGAAATATGATGCCAAGAATAGGAAAAACAATTCCAAACCTCTGGTGATATAGCATTACTCACTATCTATGCATTATTAATATTAAAACAATGACATCGTGCTACTTTCACCACTTTCATTACAATGATCATTAGATAAGTTAAAGAAAAACACATACTTTAGCTGGGTATCTAAACAGTTTCACGAATCCCAAATCATCTCCTGTGGCTAGGACCATTTTGTCACTGGTGAGACAAGAGGCAGTTACATCTGTGACTTCTCCAATTATTGGCCAAATTCCCTCACAACATAAACCAAGTACACTTGTCCATGAGGCCCAACTAATTTTTTCCACCTAAAAATATAAAAAAATGCTGTAAGTTTCTAATATTTAATATGCAAAGTCTGAACATTTCTCTGTCACTACCTAAGATTTAACAGTAAAACTGCCTTTATAAACTGGTTTTATACGTACCCAGGCCCACCACCCGCAGAGAATTTCAACATGATACTGTCCAGGACATACTATATACATACTATCTGTCCTAGCTTCTGAAAAACAATAATAAATAAAACTACTTCTTCCTGCAGATTAGCCAAAAACAATATTTACTATGCATCTAAGTCTCTATTAATGTGTCATAAACATGTTTTCCAATTAGTCTAGAAATTAAGACTCTGAGAGCCTCTTTCTTTATTTAGCCCCGTTCACATCAAATCTGCTGAGCATCTCTTCCTAGGTCATGCCAAAGTAGTAATATTATCAGACACAAGACTGAGAATAATTTTCTTTCCTTCGTCCTTCCCCATCTCTGCTCTCTTCCCTCTCCCACCCTCATACATACCTGCAAGAACAAACACTTAGGTACACAGGCTTCAAAAGATGTAATGCAGTCGGTACTTCAAAGGAGATGGCACATCCTCTATTATCATCCTTTTAGGACAGTGATTCAAGTGCAGCTAAGTATACAAGTTTTTATATTCCCTTTGCTTTCTTTTTGGAGGCAGTGCTTCTCTATGTAAACCCTGTATAACCTAGAACTCACTGTGTAGACCAGGCTGGCCTAGAACTCATAGAGATCTGCCTGCCTCTGCCTTCCCAGTGCTGGGATTAAAGGTGTGCTCCACCAGGCCCAGATTCCTTCTTTCACAAAGTTTCCCTTTCCTTTACCCATCTAGGTATCTATGTAGCCCAGTAAAACAAAGTCACCCACAGACCTATCCAAACAATGTGAGAATGGTCATCACATGTAGGAAGGAGGCATTAGCTTTCCAATCAATGTCAATTATACAAACATCACTTCAAGCATCACCATCTTCCTACCTCTGTAGTGGGGATAGTTTGTTTTTTCCCTCTGGGAGCTTCAAAGAATAACTGCTCTTTAGCACCAGTGTTGACTTGTAAAAGCTTTCCTTAAAAGAAAAAAATTTAAAAGTTATATACATATTAAAACATATAAATAAAAATATCATGACCCTGAACCAAAATTCTCAGAAAGAAAACAAAACATAATGCATGATAAACATCTCACAGGCTGATCAGAATTGTGTAATTCTCTAGGGAGAGTGAAATATTCTGGTCTGGAGACAAATTATCATGGGTTAGCTTTAGTTCCCTAAGAAGTCATTTACAACTCCCCTATGCATGAGACCTGGCATGTTTGTGACTATTAATTAGGAAAATCCTTTTAGGACATTCATAACCCTAGTTTCCACCGATCCAGAGACCCTAATGTCTGCAGGCAGCATCTGAGGCCTTAAACAGAGCTTCCTCTTTGCAAAACCCATCTACCCGGCCTAAACACAAATGTACTTTTAAAATGTCTTGATTTATAACTTTCCTGGCTTTATGATTATGTAAACTTCATGTAACTATTACTACCTTGGGACATGGTATTAGTAGTAACCTGAGTCTGTGTTCCTAGGCCATGGTCACTCATATTTGGCTAAAGAACAAGAAGTCTCTTATTCCCTATGAAAAATAGCTTTGTCTTTGCATTGATATTTGTGTTTTGTTTGTATTTTTTACAGGAAAACTTAAGTTTGAGGCCTGTATTTTGAGGCATTCAAGAGGCTGAGACTAGGACAGCGAACGCACAAGTTCAAGGACTGCCTGGACTACAGAGTGAATTCAAGGCAAACCTGTGGGATTCAGTGAGACCCCATGAGAAAGTGAAAAATGAGAAATGGGGTAGGAACACAGCTCAGTGATAGATCACTTGCCTAGCATGCACAAGGTCCTAGGTCAATTTCCTTTATAATGAATATATTAACATCATTGCATTTTCTTAATTCCCTTATAATTAAATAATTTCATTCATAAAAAGCTTATTTTTATGTAGACAAATAGATAAAACTATTTTACTTGCTATATCCACTAAAAAGAAAATTGAAACAAATTTTTCTGTTAAAATTTTTAAAAGTACAAGTAAACAGTGTAAGGATATTTGAGAAATCTTAACCTTACAAACATGAAATTTACAAAACTGAAAATGTGAAATAGCCTTTAAAATGAGGGTATTTAAAATATTTAACATTTGTTTGAACTTTTCAAAGTGTTATATGCTATACATTCTGCAAAGAAGTTCTCATTAAATACTATGCCATAAGATTATGATGATTTTTAGAAAACATATAGTAAATTAAGTCATGGAAGAAATGCTTTTAAAATCTTAATTAACATTTCTATTTCCAAATTTGAAATGCGTGAAACTTACCTGACAAAAACCAGAACATTATGACTAAATTCTTTCTTGGATAAAATTGAATCACTTTCAATTAACTTCTTAACACCTGCTGTACTCTCATCTGAATGACATGAGATGAGCTACTGTAAAGTCCAAACTTTACAGCGCTCACCTGGGGCTCCTGTAAAGCGCTATGCCAGCGCCACGAAGCTCTTGTCAATATGAAGTCACTGAAGTCTTACCTCTGGAGTCCCAGTCAATGTGGGTTATGTAGCTGGTGGCTCCTTTGCAGACGCCCACCCGCTTACTGCTCATCACATTGTATATATCTATAAAGCTGTCGTGAGACGCCACAGCTAGGTATTTCCCAGAACCTACAACAGAAACATTTGCTTGGTATTTCCTACCTGTGGAAGGAGATTAACTCTGCAACCAGAGGTAACTCTACTTATCTTTTGGGGGAAATCATTTTTTTTATTTTAAATATTTATTTATTTATTATGTATACAATAGTCTGTCTGTTTGTGTGTCTGCCGGCCAGAAGAGGGCACCAGACCTCATTACAGATGGTTGTGAGCCACCATGTGGTTGCCGGGAATTGATCTCAGGACCTTTGGAAAAGCAGGCAATGCTCTTAACTGCCCTGGGGGAAGTCTTAAGTGTCCAATAAATTATATTATAATCAGATATAAATGTTGATATCAAATGACAATATATTTCTTTAAGAATATTAATAACAAAATGAAGTGAATTTTCTTAGTGTATTGGTGTAGGAGGGTCTTCTTTCTATTTGTAGCTTTCCTTGGTTAAATAAAGAGACTACCTTGGCCTTTTGATAAGACAGCCCTTAGATGGGCGTAGTAGACAGAACAAAATTCTGGGAGAAAGAAAGCAGAGTCAGGCAGACTCCATGGCTCTCCTCTCCGCGACGGATGCTGGTTAGACTCATCCCGGTAAGTCACAGTCAAGTGGCGATACAGATTATTAGAAATGGTCTAAACTAACATGTGAGAGTTAGCCAATAAGAGGCTAGATATAATGGGACAGGCAGTGTTTAAATGAATACAGTTTCTGTGTAATTATTTTGAGTAAAGCTAGCCGGGAGCCAGGTGGCAGGAACACAGCCCGTCACACCTTTTACTACAATATATACATTAGTTCAGTGTATGGAATATTTTATTTTATTTTATTTTATTTTCAATCTTACACAGTCTGACTTCGTTTATTGTTTTTCTGGGGAACAAATCCAGGGCCTCATGAATATAAGCACAAATCCTCTCCCATTAATGACACCTAAGCACTGCCTTCCCATAGAGCTATTTTGGACAGCAAATTTTAAAGAGCCATTTATCTTCCAATTTTGTTACAATCAATCCTTCCAAAAATATTTTGCTAAGTTTAGGAGAGAAATGGACATGAATCGACATAAGAAATGTTGTCTTATCATTAGTAATTTAGTCATTTTAGTCATCATTTTAGTAGACACTGAATCAAAGAAATTGGTAACATAAAACATGCAACTTCAAAAGCATTACTATTTCAAAAAGTAGTTATTTGTCCCCTTTTATTTGCAAATATGAAAACTAAAGTCCACCTAAATTGTCCTGGCCCCAAGTCATTTGGATTGTTAGTGGCATAAGGATTAAGATTAAACAAGACATTTGTACCTGGCAAGCACAGGGCTCTTACACTTCACCCCGCTGCCTGATCAAAGAGTAAAATTCTAGAGCTAGAGAGATGGTCAGCGGTAAGAGTTCTAGCAATGAAAGCATGAGGATTTAAATTTGTATCTTTACACTCATGTAAAAGCTGGGCATGACTACACCCTGTGACCCCAACACTGCTGGGGTCAGAGACAGGAGGACTGTTGACCTTATAGGTAGCCTAGCTTCAGGTTCAGTAAGGTATTACCATAAAGGACTAAAGTGGGTGATGATCGAGCAGGGCACCTAACTCTGTCCTCTACAAGTGTACACACAACACATGCATATACACCACAAACTGAAAAACCACATTCTCTCTCTCTCTCTCTCTCTCTCTCTCTCTCTCTCTCTCTCTCTCACACACACTCACACATACACACACACACACACACACACAGAGAGAGAGAGAGAGAGAGAGAGAGAGAGAGAGAGAATGGTCTGAGGTAAAATAAGTTAGAAAATTATTACATGTTGATACATTCACTCACTGACAGGTTGATGCAAATAATCAAATATAATTTCAATGCAATCTCACCAGGTGAAAACTGGATATCTGAAATAATATCTTTTCTGTGGTGAAAGGACACGAGATCCTCTAGAGTGTCTGCATTTGCCATTAAGAAGCTTCCATCATTGAGACCTACAGCTAAAACTTTTCCATCAGGAGAAAAGCAACAGCACCTCCCACCTGAAAGAGAAGGAAAGCAATAGGGAATTTCTTGTCACATATACATGTTTAGAGTATGTGCTTTAAGGGCCTTTAATTATACAGAGGAACCTGTATTTATTATGGCATCAAATCAACATAAAAAAGAAGTCAAGAAATTCTGTTAAAATGTGTTTCTAACCTTAACAAGAATGTATAATTATTAACAGAAAGCTGAAAAAAAAGGAAAATTCTTAACTAATAAAAAGCCAATTGTTGTAGAATATTATTTTAAGGTATGTCACATTACTCTCTGAAACATTTGTTTAACAATGTAAAGGTGTATAGCTTTTATTTATGCTGCATTTGTTTAACTCTGTGAAGCTGTGATTCTTTGACTGTCTGAAACACTTGATGGTCTAATAAAGAGCTAACTAGTCAACAATGAGGCAGGGAAAAGGACAGGAAGGACTGGCAGGCAGAGAGTATAAATAGAAGGCAAAATCTGGAGAGGAAAATGAAGTAAGTTAGAACAAGGAGAGAAGGACATCAGGGGCCAGCGGCCCAGCTACCTAGCAAGCCACGGAGAAAGATATAAAGAAAGGTAAACAGAAATAGAAAAGGAAAAAGTCCAGAGGCAAAAGATAGATGGAATAGTTTAAGTTGAGAAAAGATGGCTAACAAAAAGCCAAGCTAAGGCCGGGCATTCATAAGTAAAACTAAGCCTTCATGTGTGATTTACTTGGGAGCTGAGTGGTGCGCCCCCTAAAGCCAAAAGAGTAAAAAGAGTAAAATAACCAACAACATTTGGAATACCAACATGGGGGTAGAGTAATAGAAAATCCAACTATAGCCAATGACCTAAGTGAAGATTGCGGGTGGGAGGCAAGGGCTATCTTTGTTCTATTAAAACAAAAAGTTTAAAAAATATTTGTAAAAATGCTTCAGAAATTAAAAAGGACATTGGACAATTATTAGTTTAAGCTAGGGAGATCTGTTTCAAAACTCCATATAATATTAATATTTTTTATTATTAATGATGTTACTATTCGTTTTAAAAGAAGTCAGAGTTACACTGATAAATAAAGAAATAATGAGTTTATCCTAACAGCAAGAGCTATGGCAAGCAAAGGCAAAACCCTAAAGCTTTTGGTACTCGCATGCAATCTGAGGGATAGGGTGAAGTTGTAACAGAATGAAAAATCAGACTGCACTGGGAATAAGTAATAATCTAATTATCAAGCACATATCCCTTTAGTTAAGGATGCCTAAAAGAAACTCAGTGGAAGACATGATGAAAGCCATCTGACATGTTAACACTTCTCAGGAGGACAAGCCAGAGATACAGGGGGATGGCAGTATGCGGATGGTGGTTATAAACACGAATCTGGATAGAATTTGTCATGTATTACCAGCCAACCCAAAATCCATACTTCCTTTCCCTGTTTTTTTGGTATTAAAGCAGAATGATATAGATACTTTGTCAGCCAGAATGATTTTTCTACAGCAGGAAGGTCATTAAGAAGTGCCTCTATAGGGGGCTGGAGAGATGGCTGAGCAGTTAAGAGCATTGCCTGCTCTTCCAAAGGTCCTGAGTTCAATTCCCAGCAACCACAAGGTCGCTAACAACCATCTATAGTGAAGTCTGGCACCCTCTTCTGGTGTGCAGGCATACACACAGACAGAACATTGTATACATAATAAATGAATGAATTTTTGACGGGTGTAAAATGGTATCTCATAGTTGTTTTGATTTGCATTTCCCTGATCGCTAAGGATGTTGAGCATGACCTTAAGTGTCTTTTGGCCATTCGAAGTTCTTCTGTTGTGAATTCTCTGTTCAGATCAGTACCCCATTTTTTTAATTGGGTTAATTAGAGTTTTAGTGTCTAGTTTCTTGAGTTCTTTGTATATTTTGGAGATCAGACGTTTGTCTGATGAGGGGTTGGTGAAGATCTTCTCCCAGTCGGAAGGTAGCCTTTTGGTCTTACTGACAGTGTCCTTTGCTTTACAGAAGCTTCTCAGTTTCAGGAGGTCCCATTTATTCATTGATTCTCTTATTGTCTGTGCTACTGGGGTTCTACCTAGGACGTGGTCTCCTGTGCCTATGTCTTGTAGACTACTTCCCACTTTCTCTTCTATCAGGTTCAAAGTGGTCAGGTTAATGTTGAGGTCTTTAATCCATTTGAACTTGAGTTTTGTGCATGGTGATAGATATGGATCTACTTTCATTCTTCTACGGGTTGACATCCAGTTATGCCAGCACCATTTGTTAAAAATGCTTTCCTTCTTCCATTGCATACCTTTAGCTCCCTTATCAAAAATCAAGTGTTCATAGGTTTGTGGGTTAATATCTGGGTCTTCTATTCGATTCCATAGGTCGACTTCTCTGTTCTGATGCCAATACCAAGCTGTTTTCAATACTGTAGCTCTGTAATAGCGTTTGAAGTCAGGGATGGTTATACCTCCGGAAGTACTTTTATTGTATAGGATTGTTTTGACTATCCTGGGTTTTTTGTTTTTCCATATAAAGTTGATTATTGTTCTCTCAAGGTCTGTGAAGAATTTTGATGGGATTTTGATGGGGATTGCATTGAATCTATAGATTGCTTTTGGTAGAATTGCCATTTTAACTATGTTGATCCTTCCAATCAAAGAGCAGGGGAGATCTTTCCATTTTCTGGTATCCTCTTCAATTTCCTTCTTCAAAGACTTAAAGTTCTTGTCCAATAGATCTTTCACTTCCTTGGTTAGAGTTACCCCAAGATATTTTATGCTATTTGTGGCTATTGTGAAAGGTGAAGATTCTCTGATTTCCCTCCCTGCTTCTTTATCCTTTGTGTATAGGAGGGCAACTGATTTTTTGGAGTTGATCTTGTACCCTGCCACATTACTAAAGGTGTTTATCAGCTGTAGGAGTTCTTTGGTAGAGTTTTTGGGGTCGCTTATGTACACTATCATATCATCTGCAAATAATGAGAGTTTAACTTCTTCCTTTCCAATTCGAATCCCCTTGATCCCCTTATGTTGTCTTATTGCTATTGCTAGAACTTCAAGCACTATATTGAAGAGGTATGGGGAGAGTGGACAGCCTTGTCGTGTTCCTGATTTCAATGGAATGGCTTTGAGTTTCTCTCCATTCAATTTGATGTTAGCTATCGGCTTGCTGTAAATAGCTTTTATTATATTTAGGTATGATCCTTGTATCCCCAATCTCTTCAACACCTTTATCATAAAGGGATGTTGAATTTTGTCAAATGCTTTTTCAGCATCTAATGAAATGATCATATGATTTTTTTCTTTCAGTTTATTTATATGATGGATTACATTGATAGATTTGCATATGTTGAACCAGCCCTGCATCTCTGGGATGAAGCCTACTTGATCATAATGGATAATTTTTCTAATGTGTTCTTGGATTCGGTTTGCCAGGATTTTGTTGAGAATTTTTGCATCGATGTTCATGAGTGAGATTGGCCTGTAATTCTTTCTTGGTTGTGTCTTTATGTGGTTTTGGTATCAGGGTAACTGTAGCTTCATAAAAAGAATTTGGCAATGACTCTTCTGTTTCTATATTGTGAAATACATTAAGGAGTATAGGTATTAGCACTTCTTGGAAGTTCTGGTAGAATTCTGCATTGAAACCATCTGGTCCTGGGCTTTTTTTCAAAAATACCAATGATAGCCTATGCTGGAGAGGATGTGGAGTGAGGGGAACACTCATCCATTGTTGGTGGGATGCAAACTTATGCAGCCACTGTGGAAATCAGTGTGGCGGTTTATCAGGAAACTGGGAGTCAGCCTCCCTCAGGACCCAGCAATTCCACTCTTGGGAATATACCCAAGAGGTGCCCTATCATACTACAAAAGCATTTGTTCAACTATGTTCATAGCAGCACTATTTGCAATAGCCAGAACCTGGAAACAACATAGGTGTCCCTCAATAGAAGAATGGTTAAAGAAGATGTGGAACATATACACATTAGAGTTTTACTCAGCGGTAAAAAACAATGACATCTTGAATTTTGCATGCAAATGGATGGAAATAGAAAACACTTTACTGAGTGAGGTAATCCAGACCCAAAAAGAGGAATATGGTATGTACTCATTCATAAGTGGATTCTAGCCATAATTAAAAGTCTTTGCGCCTATTATTCGTGATCTTAGAGAAGCTAAATAAGAAGGTGAACCTGAAGAAAATCATGTAGTTTTCCTCCTGGATATTGGAAGTAGACAAGAGTGCCAGGCAACATTGGGTGCACGGGGCGGGAGTGGATGGAAGGGGAGAGGGTTAGAGAGAAGGGAGTAGGGGAGGATTGGGGAAAGCTTGGGAGATTGGGATGGGGGGGAGGGAGGAAGGATGGATATGGGATCAGGGAAGTATATATCTCAACTAAGGGAGCCATTTTAGGGTTTACAAGAGACTTGATTCTAGAGGGGTTCCCAGGCCCAAGGAGAGATCCCCAGATTGTTCCCTGGACAGCAGAGGAGAGGGTGCCTGAACTAGCCTTGGCCCATAACCATACTGATGAATATTTTGCATATCACCATAGAACCTTCATCTGGTGATGGATGGAGATAGAGACAGAGACCCACATTGGAACACTGGACTTAACTACCTAGGTCCAAATGAGAAGCAGAAGGAGAGAGAACGTGAGCAAGGAAGGCAGCATCAGAGGGAACCTTCACCCGATGATGAATGGAGATTGAGACAGAGACCCACATTGGAACACTGGACTGAGCCCCCAAGGTCCAAATGAGGAGCAGAAGGAGGGAGAACATGAACAAGAAAGGCAGGACTGTGAGGAGTGCGTTCACCCACTGATACAAGGGGACTGATCTAATAATGAGAGCTCACCAAGGCCAGCTGGACAGGGACTGAATAAGCACGGGATCAAACCGGATTCTCTGAATGTGGCCGGATTCTCTGAATGTGGCTGGCATGGGGACTGTCTGAGAAGCCATTGATAATGGCACTGGGACTTGTTTCCTCTGCATGTTCTGGATTTTTGGGATCCTAGTCAGTTTGGATGCTCACCTTC